GGTCCAAGCAAGTCTTCACATAAGCGACGACACCCTGCGGTGTCTGGAAGCATGTGCAAGGAGACCCTGCGCTGGACCCATGCCCGATCTTGAACAGTTGGCCCCAGTCTCTGCGAGACTCTTGTCCCTTGAGAAGCCGAGCCCCAAACAACCGTCCAGGCCGGACAAGGTCGAAATCGATGCGCCAAATCCCTGCAATCCGTTGGCCAGCGCCGGTGGCTGGCCCGAGACCCGGCTCTGCGCACTGTCTCTTCTACTTGGAGATAAGTAATGAAAACTGTAGCTACTTTACTTACACCCCTACTAAGTCCCATGATCCTTTAAGTAGCGTTCAGCGTGTCGCCTTTCTTGAGGACCTCAGAGGCCCCGGGCTCTGGAGCCGGGTGCTCAGAGCGATTCCTGGTTCTACGGAGCTCGGAGATGAGCGGATCTCCTGAGATGCCCCTGGTGATGACGTGGTCGCAGCAGTGCAGCAAAGTCGGGGCCAGTTCCGCCCTCAGTGCTTCGCTCGTTTCCGGATGGTGGCACCGGCCCTTGGGAGCAGAATGCATCTCAAATCTAAATTGTGCTTCGCAGTAGATTTAATTATGTGTGAAGCACATCACTTGCCACGGCCTCCAAGTGGAGTGTTCCGAAGCTGAGCGTGGTCCCGCGTGGCGCCATGAACCCAAGCCTTTGCATAGTGCCGTCGCGGATCTTCAGAGGATCTACGCTTGGAAAACGCAGCTGGAGTGGATCCAATCAGTTCAACCTGTGAGGTCTAGTTCCCGAGACGACCTACAGCCTTCCCTCGGGAGGCTTGTTCGGAACCAGTCGCTTGGCCCAGGGCCCAGGTGACAAGAAGTCACTGGGCTTTCGTCAGACGGAAGAAATGTTGAGGTGCCTTCTTTGATGGGCAACACCTTCCAGCTGAACGACTGTGTGGGCTACACGCCGCATACTCACACAAGTCGGTGCACGGGACAAACGGGCGAGCAGACTCTCTTTCCAGGCGATACTACATTGACGAGAAGGCTGGCTCAGGTGGTTGTTGTGAATGGCTGGACTCGCCGAAACGGAGTCTGTTTCGAAGTTTTGAGGTTTTGGACCTGAGTTGATAAGACCCTCGCCGAATTCTCCTGCAGAAGCAGGTCTACCATGTTGTCGGAGAGCCAGATGCCCATGCCTGCGAAATCTATGGGTCTTGCGCGGCTGCCTGAGTGCAGAATCATTCGACACAGAGCCCCAAGTTGCCAAGGCCCCCAAGCCTTGAGTCGTGCGCAGGATGGCTCAGTTTTTCTGCAGTTCATCATCAGGGATCACGTGCCCCTCCCAGCACCTTCGCACTTCTCGAATCGGGTGTCAGAAAGCGCTCCGCTGTCTTAAGCTTAGGCAGGCCGCAAGATTGCGCACACGCCCTACCTGCGGCTTTTCCAAAGCTCCTTCAATATCGAGGCTAGGCCCCATGTCAAGGCACGTTCAGCCACAGCGAAGAGACTTTGCCGAGCGCAGGACACCAGTGGCCTGGTGGTGGCACATGTGGAAAGGCTCGGAGCGTCGTGGTTAAGTCTAGTCTAGGGTTAGTGGTTCAGGCTCTGCAGTCTGAAACGGCTGTTCGTTGGGCCTTAGATCCGACCGGATCGTTCATGCCCTGTCCAGGATTGGGCACTGGAATCCAATGTCCAAGATGTGTTCAAGCAAGGGGCATCGATGGCTCGCTGCTCAAGTTCACGCACGAGCTCTTCACAGAAGGGCTTCTGTCAAAACATCGAATCATCGACGACGTCGCATTGTGTCTGAGTCAGCTTTGACGGATTGCACCGTGCGCCCAGGTTGGTGAAGTTCCCAGACCTGACCTTGCCTGGCTTCCGTCTCAGCACCGGAAACACAGTAGCGACGAGCCCGCTTGTGAAATCTCTGTAAAATGGGAGTCCTGTCCAAGATCGATGACACTGAGGTGCGTCAGCAGTTTTTCCGACTGCTGCCGACCGGTGGCCAGTGGCGCGATGCTCAGATTCAGATTCCAAACGCATGCTCCCAGAAGGAAGCTGCTATCAGCTGAGGCGAAACTCGTCACCATCATGGCCACCAGAGACTCCAGTCGCTTGTCTTCGGGCCTTGTCTCTCCTTCCGTCTGCGAAGTTGAGAAAACAGGGCCGGGATCCCGGAGCTTTCTCTCGCTACTCTAGGGGCCTTAGTAATACGAATCCTGTTCTTAGGGGTTTCTTATGATAACTATGGTATAACTTGGTATCATACACCACTAAAGCACTATTCGGAATCTAATTGTTAAGGCCCCTTTTTCGCAGCTTTGCTGGCGAGAACTACCCCGAGCCCAAGGCTGCTGGTGATCTCCCTGGTCTTTCTGGCAGTTGCTCTTGGAGCTCTCTACATCTTGTGAGATGCTCAGGAAAGGTTTACGGTCTAGGGTTTAGAGACTGAGGCAAGTGAATGTGCGGCTGAGTCTAGTAAGTTTCTGCGTCTCTGCAGGTTTTTGCGTGTTGGCGTTGCCCCAATGCAGAGCACCTGTTTGGACTTCGAGAGTTCTTGCTGCCGGGAGCTGAAAGAATTGCTCGTAGGGATGAGGCAGTCTCGCGCCGGCTGTTCCCAGGCCCCCGCAGGAAAATGGCGGCGACATCAAGATTCCCGAAATACTCCGTCTGACGAAAGGCAAGCATCGGCTGTTGGCATCACAGCTCTCACTTGTTCCACCCGGTCGTTGTTTGCAGGTGCCCGGAGTGGCTGGCTGAAGTCGGGGGAAATGTTTCACAACTCGGTGAGCGAGCGTCGGACGCGGTTCGATCAAAAGCAGCTCAGCCCACTATACTTATAACCCCAATTAAGGTACTTATAACTGTACTTACTAAGTCTCCTGATCCTCCAAGTATGCAAGCCCTGGCTCCGTTTCTGCAGCGCTTGGCCCGAGCAGAAAGGCTTGGGAGCAAAGGATGGCGAGCGGGAGACCCGGGAAGGGAGTGTCTCAAAGCCAGGAGGAGACCCGAAAAGATTTAGAAGCTTTCTAAACCCCACAACCCCAAAGCGCAAGGTCGTAAACCCTCAAGCCGAGCGGCGTGTGCTAGAGTTCGGGCATCGATGAGGTCCATGGCATACATCCAGCCTCCGACGGGGGGATGCTGCGTATATGCGAAACATGGAGTACCTTCGCTGAGTTGTGGTTGAGGTTTACGCAGCTTGTGGCCCAGGTTTGCAAGCAGGGTAGCCATTGATCTGGGCCCAACTTCTGGCTTGACAGGGAGATGTACACCAGCACCACCGCCATCGGAAAATGCCGGCTGGATACGGCCGCCCGGCAACCTTGAGCATCAGTGGCCGATCTTGTCCCTTGGCTCTGAGCCTCTCAGGTTGGGCATCTGAAGCCATGCGACAACAGACATGTGCCTATCTCAGCTGCCGGAAGCAGAAGCCACGAAAAACTGGGATCCGAAATGCTCTCGAATGGTACAGTTCCCCAGACCCATCCGATCCGGTCCGGTCCCCCAAATTGTAGCTATGGCCCTGGGAGCCGCTCCGGCCCGCTCTAAGGCTCCAATTCGTCTCTATCGGAGCTATGGCGAATGGTTTGAGGCTGGCCTCCAGGCAGCCCCGGCCCGCGCTTGTGCGAGCGGCACAGCCGACGTTTCGGAAGCCTCGGCTCCACAGGCTCCTGTGCCCAATGTTACCATGATGACAACCTCGCTATGCTCTCAGCTTCGAGCTGTGATGGGCCGGCAATCTCGTGTCAGCTACAAACATCAGCATGCAAGCCGTGCAGTGAGGTCTAGATTTTGGCCTTATGGCCAAGATGTGACAAAGCTGCATGCGACGTCCGACAAGCGGGAGCAGTGCCCCGAACCGCTTTCCATGACGATGCAAGTGCTTACGACGATCTGCCAAAGGCGCCATTCTCCTGAAACTGCGACAGGTACCAGCTCGACGACCGAACGGTCACCAGGATAAGGCATCGTTTGCAAATGTAAACTCCATCTTGTCATTATGTCTTGTTTACTATGTGCGGAGTGCAGGCCCTACGTTCCCGCCAGGGAGGGCTCGCTTCCAGATTTGCGGGCGTACCGCGCAGGCAGGCGAATTGCAGTCGAAGGCTTCGCAGCAGCGCAGTGCACTGTGGAGGTGGATCTCATGCGGCACACATCCCCAACCATCAGGTCGTGAGCCTAGAACTCCTTACTTGCGCGTGGACCTTTCTCACGGAGAACGCCAAGTTGTATTCTTGCTGCAGTCATTTCGATCCTTTCGGGCGACCGGTAAGAAGGACACCTTTTGTGCTGCCGGCTCGTCCTTGCTCGTTGCTGGCTGCTGCAGTTTTGACTGACACTTTGGCACAGCGGCTGAATCGACAGTTTCAATGCAATGAGCCATATGCCTTGAATATGCGCGGCTCTTTGAGTATATAGGGTCCCGAAGGGTGCCTCATGTCTTGCCACTCCATGTGTTCTTCGATTCTCTATGCACTTTTCGGTTTCGTATCTTGTGCTGGGCTTTTTGTTGGTTTCCAGCCGACGGGCATGGATTTTCAGTGTAAGGCGTAAGGTGCATGCTCATGCATCCGACTCCTTGTTCTCTTCCTGCTAGCTGCCAGGAGCTGCAAGCATGCTGTGCAGGAGCCTGACCAGCCATAGGCTTGAGGGCTCCCTAACTTTTTGTTCACAGGTGTCTCAGCTCCTCTCGAAGAGAGGTTCCTAAATGTCTGCAGTCCATGCACAACTGCATTGACTTGACAGGAGTGGTTGTAGTGACTCCAGTTCTTGCGGCGGCCACATCCGTGTGGGAATTCAAAGAGCGCAGAGTCTTTACCGAAGTGATCGCCGGAAGCACTCGACCTTAGCATCCACACAGTCTCCTGGACATCCCTACTTATCCCGATGAGCCTAGCAGTGGTAGGGTTCTTGACAGGACATCTCGGCATAGTCGGTGGCTGGCACGCACATGCGTCAAGAATCGTGGAGGGGATCTACTGTTGCCTGGCCATCAGGCTTCAGGGGGATGTGGGCCGTATAGTTGCCATGAACAACTTTGCGGCGGATCATGTCTCATGGCAGCCCGAATCTCGGTTTCGAACAGCTTTGAGACTTCGGAACGACGGCATCTCTCTCCTAGGCAGCATCTCAATAGAGAGAAGCTGGCAAGGAAGAAGGTCACACTGGCGCTCTTGCCTCAGTGGCTCCTTTGGCCGTTTGAGAAGGTGTCAATGGTGGAGAATTGTATGTATGGGTATGTGTCCACTGAGACTGGAGGTACTACGGCCGGAAGGGAGGCGCCGAGATTCTGGCGCCCAAAGTTCCTCCAGCCCCTACAGTGGAGGATGTCAGCAAGGCCCAGGCATGTAAACATGTCCGTCCTTCTGTGGAGACAAGGATGCCTGCGAGGTCATGTTTGACAGACTCTACCGGGCAGGTTCGCTGCCTGCTGGATGCCCAGCTGTGAGTCGGGAATCAGAGGCCCTTCGTACAAAGGGGGGAGAAGTGTTTCGGGGCTGAGGCCTTGAGCGGGGCCAAAGCGCTCACGCCAGATGACGGCAACCTGCGGAGCTCGAGGCAGGGAAGGTTCCTGCTGGCACAGCGCAGACCCTTTCGTCCCGTCGAAGGCCTTACAGTCGATCCCGGTATCCGAAGACTCCCTTGCAGTCTTCGAGCAACATGCTCTTGCTCGCGCCCTCGTGCCTTGTACTTTCACGTCTCAGTCTTGGCAAACGTGGAAGCCAAGGCCGCCGGCAGCCGGTCCACCGGGTAGCAGAACCAGCTCCAGCCATGGAAGGACGCCTTTCCTTGCATTCAAAGATCAAGCGTCATTCTCAACTTAGTGACTTGTGACAGGAGAACTGGCGCTCGGCTTGGTTCCAGCGGTGGGCCGCGGACTCTGTGCTTGCCAAGTCTTGAACAGTCGGTGAGGGTTAGCCTCCCTGTCCAGTCCCTGAGTCCCTTATAGTATAGATTTTCGGTCTTTCGCCAGCTAATTGTTCCCAACTGCATGGTCGGCTGCCAGTTCTTATACTGCTGCTGCAGAATCGCTCGCAACTGCATCAAGTCGGCTGAGGCGTAGCCAGCGCAGCCAGGAAGAGGGATTGCTGTTCTTCAATGATCAGCCATGGTCCTTGCTGCTCAGAGTTTGTCTTCTCTTGTATGCACGTGCGCATCATTTGCGCCCGTGTCATGCAAGGCACCGGGAAAAGACTCCCTCTCTGCGTAGCTCGTACTCGCAGTTAAGCACATCGTCTTCTTTGTGGCTGGAGGCCGGTCGCTCACTATCCCGATGCAACAATGCAGCTACACCCAACGCACCAGACAGTAAGGTGGAAAAAGCAGTGCAGGAGGAAGTGGCTAAGGTGCGCCGAACCCCTTTGATGCAACCAAGTGTGTGTGCAGGGACTCTTCTCATCCAAGCATCGGCGAATGCTAAGGTAGTCAAGCCGCTGCAGCAGCAGCTCCACACTGAGGTAGGAACTACACAAGTCGATCTCAGGAAAGCTAGAGTGCTATAGACTTATAGAGGGTTCCGATGAAGACGACAGGAGGAGGCTCGGAAGCGTGCTGAGGAAGCGCTGAGGCCGGCAGTTGAAGCCTTCCGGCCACGGCAGAATTCCACTACTTCGGGTAACTGCCAGGATCCTGGGTGGCACACCGGAGTCGGAACCGCAAGCCTGAATTCGAGGCAAGAAGTGCATCTCCTGCCTGTAGCGTCTCACAAACATAAGTTTCACGGTCTCACGCTTTCTTTGTCAGCCGCGATGTACACGAAGTGGCTGACTGCGAAACCGTGCATGGGACACGGGATCTCTCTCTCTCTCTCTCCCTCCCTCCCTGCCTAACCCGGTTGCATAGACTTGAAATTGCTCATTACTATCACCGCCGGATACTTCCGCAGCCACTCGGAATGGAGCATGCCGAGCATGGCCAGGCCTGTTAGCGCCATACAACATAGCATACTATACCACAACAAGCATAATATCAACTAACATGGGAGTTTCTAAAAATTGGGGTTACCTTATTTTGGGGTCCTTAGAATAAGGACCCTAGTATTTAAGGTACTATATTAGGGTCCCCTATTTTCGGAAACTCCCACATACTACCTACTACAATACAGCATAGTAAGCAAGCATGGCCGGTTGGCCTCGCCTTGGAGGGAAGCGCCGGCGACCTGATTGGAATGACCACGAGGCTTCAGTGAGGGCCCAAAGAAGCGCGCTCCAGTGATGGGGTTTGGGGTTTGGGGTTCAGGGGGATGTCCTAGAATCAGGGGTTCGCTTTAGGGCTTAGCGGTTTAGGGTCCTAAGTTTTCGGGTTAGGCTTCTTAAAACCAGGATTCCTGCACTTGTGTAGGGGGTTCCTTGATGTCCTGTTAGCTTTAGCCTGATGGCGACAGGGCTACGAACCCCTAAACCCCAAGCCCCAAACCCGAGACCCCTATGCTTTCCGGGTTAAAGCCTCAGCCAGCCATGGCATTGAACCTAACAACTTTGCCGGGGAGAAAAGGGCGTCAAGAAATACATAATATAACGAAACCCCACACCCTTGAATCCTAAATCCCCCAATCCCTAAACCCTTAAAAATCCGAAACCCCCCAATCCCTAAAGCCTTAAAGCCTGAACCCTAAGCCCTGAAAAACTATATCCTGAACCCTAAACCCCTACTTCAACTTAGGGGTCTCCTTTGAGATATTCATAATCGTAGTACTGTCATTTCCAACAACAGGAGTAATGGTAACATGGCTATTAATCGTGCTTAGAGGATCATGGGACTTAGTAAGTACGGTTATCAGTAAAGTAACTACCTTTAACCCCAACTAAGGTACTCTTATAACCCTACTTCCTAAGTCCCATGATCCCCCAAGTAGACTCTAAACCCTAAGCCCTTATATATAGACCCTTTAAACGGACCCCTATAACCCTACTTACTAAGTCCCATGATCCCCCTTCTACAACCCTTATAGATCCCTTTAAGGAGCCCTATGATAGAACCCTATAGTACCCGTAAAAGGAGCCCTGGTCCCATGATCCTCCCCCAATAGCATCCTTCGAGGTCGGCCCGGTGGGTCGAGGCGCCGATAGTCGCTCGCCCGATCGTCGCGGCGATGCCGGGCAGCTTCGCCGACCGCTGTCGAGGAGGGTTTAGGGCTTCAAGGGCTCTATAAGGGCTCTATAAGGGTTTCGGGGTGAGGGGTTTGGGGCTTAGGGCTTTCGGGTTTAGGAGACGGTTTCGGTTTTCGGGTTTAGGAGGCAGGGTTTTCGGGAAGAGGGCTAAGGTTTTAGCATAGATTGATGGATTCAGGGCCGCAAGTCATGGTATCTTCATATAAGCCTCGACACTAGGACCCTCGTGACATCGTATTCCAACAATCTCCACATTAAATGCTAGGAGATTCTGACACTTACGACACAGTCACAGAATCATCTCTGCACGATCAGAGCAGGTTGCTCGAGAGAGACCGTGATGGCGGCGGTGGTGGCGGTGGTGGTGGCGGCGGTGGAAGACGAAGCAGGAGCCGAGAAGGTGGCAGCATGCAGCATGAATAGTTGTGCGGCGGCGTGCTCCTTAGATAAACTCGAGGTCCTCAGCGCAGGGTGATTATTCCCGGCGCACGTCGGCGCAGCACCAGCATGGGGCACAGTCCAGGGTTTTCGCAGCGGGCCTTTCTGGGACCTGGACCCGCTGGAGGTCGCAGTCCCGATGCGAGAGGACCCCGAGGAGGTGGGGAGTTTCCCTCAACATCCCTAAACTCTAAGATCCCTCAAAGCATCTCGTACCATCTAGCATAGGCCTCAAGCCTCATATGCCCTGATGAGCCCATACTCCTTGGGAAGTTCCTGGCAGCAGGTCCGAGAGGTCGGCCGCCAGGCTCGGGTCGCATGACCGAGCTTCGCGGTGCTCTGCCGCGCCGGCGAGCGTGGGGCGCCAAGCTTGTAAGCTCCCTGCCACGTGTGGCGGTTTTTAGGGTTCAGAGGGATTTGGGATCAGGGTTCAGGGTGTGGCAGGGAGTCGAAGCACTACAAGTAGCGCATAGTAACGCCTTGCATCGCATCTTGCGCAGGATGCAGGCAGATGGTGATGGAGGCCGGGTCTGCCCAGGAGTTGTGTGCTCATTCTTTCGTAGAAAAGATACTCACGCAGGCTGGGGCGGACGTCCGCACAGGAGTGGCGCCGGCCTGAGGCCGGAGCGGCGAGCACCGCAAGCATACTTCCTTCATCGTGCCACTGCCATCTCTTCAGTTGCTAGTGCCGCTAGTGCTCTTTGTCACAATCGATGCCGCGGCCCTGCCAGGCTGACTCCAGCAGGTGCGGGGCGGTGCCAGTACTAGTAGTCCTCCGCACTGCTTGAAGTGAGCTGAAACGAGCATCCTGTGCAGCTGGCGCGAAGCGCAATGACGATGAGCGGCGATCCAAGGTCTTCTCAATGCATTTCGCCTTCGACCGCATGGTGCTCCGAGGTTCGCAGGTCGTCGCAGATATCCCGACGGCCAACGGCGTCCTTTTGACAGAGCTCGGAGCTTGAACTTTGCACCACAACTTTCAAGACGAAAGAGTTGCCATCAAGGAGACTGATGAGTGGCATCGAGATCCGGAGCGAGCCAAGAAGGATAAGAGCCGGCTGGAGGCAGATGAGCTCATGGTTCTCTTTCATGACATTCCGGGTACCAACATTGACAAATCAACATGATCGTTTGACATCACGGGTACCATGACCCGTTCTCAATATTGTCGTTGTGATGATTCAAAGCATGCATTTCCCGGTCCTGGGTGAGTTCTGGTCAGGACTGGACTCTGGCGGTAAATCTGCTGCTCAGCTGGGATGACCAAAAGACCATTTCGGCAGCTGACATGGAAGAGTTTCTGTCAAAGTTCCTGGAGGCCTTTTTGGGTGTAGGGCTTTTGGGGTTTAGCAGTTGGGCTTTAGGCTTCAGGGCGGCTTTTTGGGGGCGGCTTTTATCCAGAGCCTGCCTAAAGCGTGTTTAGGGTTTTGGCTGTACGGCTAGGGTTTAGGTTTGTGCAGTTACTGCGAACGATGCACCTTTCCGAAATCAGTTGAAAGCCCTGCTGCAGTACGATGCCAAAGTCAAGCATCGGATTACTCCGCGCCTGACCTCGGAGATCTTTCTCAGGCACGGCTCTGCAGGTAGCGTTTCCATGAGGCTTAACCCCAGCGTTTCCATGAGGCTTAACCCCAAAACTTATGGAATCCTAGAAACAGCTGGATAAAGGCCATCGGTGGAAACGAGAACCCGCAACCCTACACTCGAATCCCTTATAGCAATCCCCAGAGTATTCTAATTAAGGTCAATGATTTTGAGGTTTAGGATCGTTTTCGGGTTTAACTGGGGCTCTTGGGTTTTTTCTGTGCCTTTGGATTTAAGGTGCCGTCTCATCAGAAGTAATGCCCTTCTTCATTCCGAGCTTGCCGTGTCGGCCCGCCACTTTCTGGTGCTTTCTGCCTCCGAGAGTTTGGGTTGAGGATTTAGTGTTCCAGGCTTGTTCAGAGTTGCTAGGATGACGAGCCGCTAGGGTACCAGAGACAAATTAGGGATCGTATTCAGAGATCCTTCTTTTTGAAGTCTATGCTGGATCTTCCTTGTTTACTCTAGCCTCCATACACGCAAGTCTTTGCCAAGTGTTGGGGAGTGGTGCCGTGCGTGACCGCCGCTCATGATGCTCCTTTTCAAGCCCTGCTGCTGCCGCTGTGCAGGTGCTCCTTTTCCTAAGCTCACACATTGGACCTGAGAATCACACAACTTACCCGTCTGCTTGGGCCCAGAAAGCGCGAGAAAGAACATCGTATCAGCAGCGGCAGAAGCCGAAGTGCAGGGGAATCCTCCGGACGCTCTGGGACATTGACCGCCTGCTACGTCCGTGTCCCAGCATCTTCGGTTCTCGGAGAGTTTGGGGAGCGGCTGAGACTCTCAGGCTTCATGAACCCAGGGGACGAGCTCAAGATGGTGACAGCCAAGAGCCCCATGGTCTTGAGCATCTTGCGCGCGAGCACCCCAGAAAAAGCTGGTCTTCGTCAGTTTTCTGGGGACCCGGGACCGGTTCGGGAGCGCTCGCCAAAGAACAGGTGATGGCTTATGAGTTCATGTGGACCCCAAGCTGCACGCCGCGGGGTGCAAAGGAAGGCACGAGGGCCTGCGTCTCCTTCACACTGCGATCCCCTTTGGTGCTTCATGAGCTGGAAGGTGCGAGAGATCTCATGGAGAGGGTCAACGTGTCTGTGAAGGTCGAAAGCTTAAACCCTCAACCTCCAAGACGGCCCCGAGCTCCGCTATTCTGAGGCTGACAGAGACTGGATCACGGACGCAATGGTTCGGATGGGAGAGGCTTTCGAGAAGGCTCAAACACAGCCGGAGGGCCGACAAATCGCAGTCCACAAACATGAAGTTACTATGTGTGGAAGTTTCCGAAAATTAGGGGTACCTTCTTTTGGGGTAGTTATTTTAGGATCCGAGTATTAAGGGGTACGATATTGGGGTCCCCATTGCCGGAAACTCCCGTATGTTAAAAGGATGGATATATGTCGCACAGTGTCGCATAGTCACAATCTGTGCACGTCTATGCCATCGTGTCAATCGCAGGCACACAATGCCTGGGACAGGAAGCACGCTGCGGCCAAAGAGAAGAAGGTAGGAACTCGCCAGCACCTGGTATGGCCGGAAAGAGCAAATTGCCCTGTCAGCGACGCGAGCGTGCAGAAGCCGCTGCTGCGGCTGCCGGAAACAGCGGGGACTGCCTTTAAAGTGAACATGTCCAAGGTTCATTCGTTAGCTCCGATAGTCTAATAGTCGTCCCAGTCTAGATGTGGAGGACTTGGCTGCGGGAGGCCGGCCGTCGCTCCTCACTTTCGAGGCCCCCTTGAAAGGCCAGCCTTCAAACCCCCCAGGCGCGAAGTTGAAGCTGGTGGAGAACGCGAAAGCCGCGAAAGCTGGAGCCGCTGGAAAAAGGAAGCGAGGACGCGAGTAGAATTTCGTTCCTGAGCGAAGCGTTGAAGTTGCGGCAAGTTGCGAGCTTGGAGGAGCCGATGGAGCAAAGCGGAAGGCATGTGGAATGAGAATTATGCTAGCTTGTCTGACATGGGTTGAGATTCCCCGAAACCCTAAATCATAAGCCCCATCCCCTCTGAGATGAAGCTTTCTCGGTGCAGGGAGCAGATGCCCAGTTTGGCAATGCGAGAGCAATAGCTGTCAAAGAGCAGGCTCCGCTCGTGTTTCCGTCTCTGCTCTCGCTCTCGGGTTCTTTCAGATGATTATGGGATAATGCGTTTGAGCTTCTTTTGTTTCCACTCCAAAGGCTCTGGCTGGCAAAGCAGAAGCCACGGATTCCCAGAAGCCGCGCCGCCGCGTTTGCGAGTCGTGGTTTTGCAGTTTCCAGCGGCCCTTGCTCCAGGCCAACACGTGCAGCCGCTGCGTCCCAAGTGATTCCTGCACAGATTCTTCAACTTACCTTTGGTTAGTAGGGAATGGAAGAACGGTAGTAAGAGTAGTTATAATTGTACCCCATTCCTCCATTCCCTTCTAACCAAAGGCAAGTCAAACAGCACAGTGTGTGACTTGAGTCCGGCACGGGAGACTGGCAGTCAAGGTCGTGAGGCCTGCAGCTGCACAGGATGACGGCGATGAGGAAGAGTTCGAGGGGCCCGGGGAAGATGGAGCACCGCGAAACGCGGAAGCCACAGCAGACGCCTACGGGGTGGAGCCGGAGGAAGGCGATGCTCCGGCGGACGAGCTGGAGCCGGAGCTGGAAGCGGAGCAAGCGGAGCAAGCGGAGCAAGCGGAGGACAACCGCTCAGAGGCCGCGGAGGCCGGGCAAGAGGAGAAGGAGAAAGCTGAAGCAAGCGAGACCGTGGACGAGCCTCAAGTGGAGCAGCCCGAGCAGGAGCCACGCCTCACTCAAAGAGGTTTTAGACTTTTAGGGTTTCAGGCTTTTAGGGTTTAAGGGTTTAGGCTGTAGGGTTGCAGGGTTTAAGGGTCTAAGGCTTTAGGGTTCAAGGGTTTAGGATTGAATTGTCAGGACGGGCCGGGCAAGAGCGAAGCCGAGAACTCGGGTGCCGAACTCGATTTCGACGGATGCCAAAGCCACACTCCGTCGAACCTCTTGGCTCATGGCTCTGCAGTGCAGGTGCTGGATCTGAAGGGCTTGGATGCGAGGCACGCTGAGCTCTTTGTGGATAAAAGCTATCAGGCAGAGACACATCTTCTCGAGTGCAGGAGACGTCCATGTGGGCCGAAGAATGCTGAAGCGAAGATCCTCGAATTGCAAAGACAAGGCCCCCCCCCTCCGCAGCTTAGCCGCCGGGAGCTTTGTCCTACTCTTGTCGCTGGAGGCGCAACAAGCGTTTGTTGTGGGACCCTCGGTTCTCGGAGAACTTGGGGGTTTCCGAAAGTTAGGGGTACCTTGTTCTCGGGTCCTTGTAATAATAAGGGTCCTACCATGTAGGGTACTGTATCAGGGTCCCCTATGTTCGGAAACTCCTACTTCGTGGAAGAGCGACCGGCATCGGGAGACACTGCAGGTGATGAGGATCGGCTCAGCGTCCAAGCGTAGCGCTTGGGTAGCCGGGACATGACCGGCCAGCGTTAACGAAATCAAAATCGAGTTCAATTCTGCGGCAAAGCTTGACCTGTTTCTCTGAAACTTGACCGAGACTGGAGAAAAACACCGAATGGGGTCTGTAACTAGCACCTGCCAATACCTGCCAGCTTGTGTTATGTGTCGTGTTGGATCGAGCATTCGAGGGGCAGATCATGAAAGGTCTCTCGAAACCAGATTGCACTGCAAGTGACCCCAAGGGAACTGTGGAACAGCTAAGCCGGCAGCCAGCGACCATAGACTTCGACCATCACTTAGCACGACCCATCCAACCTAATCTCCCAAAACCCAAAACCATAGACCCTAACTCTCAACCCTGACTAACCCTGGAGCGTGAGCGGAGAGATCTAAGACGGAGGTGACAGGAGCCATGTGCCTCCGCAGTGTTACCCATGGCAGCTTTTCAAGCTGAAACCTTCGAGGCTACGGTTTTTGACATTGCAATCTGTCCTATCGGTTTTTGGTCCTACTGCCGCGATTCTTCCCTTTTCTGATGATCGTTTCCTTGGAGTACCGAGAGCACTGACCCAGGACTTGCACAAGGTCGTCGCGCAGCTCGCCAGCGGAAATGATTCTTCGGAGGCCGAGGCCGGGATCCCGGCGGTCGGCGATCTCTCGCTGTAGACAATTTGGGAGTCTCCGAAAACTAGGGGAACCTTATTCTGGGGTCCTTATAATAAGGATCCTATTGAGGGGACTATATCAGGGTCCCTATTTTGGGAAACTCCCATTTCAGATGCTCGGAGATGTTGCCTCTGATACCGCAGAGGCTTTCGCAGAGCTCCGGCAATGCAAGGAGGCGCGCGCCGGCTTTGCCCACTTCTCGCAGGGAAGCCAGCTCTGCGCCTCTGCGCGGTACACGCGATTTGTTGATTCAGGCATTGTCCAAGCCTTTCACGTTTCGGAGCCGCGAGGCAGCCGATATGCATGTTAGAGTGCCAGATTAATAGTTCCATCTGCTGTGACGGGCAGGATACGATGGACCTACCGAGTTTGGCTCGCAGTATCATGGCGGAAAGGCCAATTGCGTGCAGGTTTTGTTGATCCTCGTCGTTTGCTGCATGTTCGCAGGCCGAGGCTGGCAACAGAGCACTTGGTGAAGCTTGTTGACGAGGCAGGGCTGTTCTGCAATGCTGTCTCCCCGCGGAAGACAATGCAGCGTCTCACCTCGAGGTAAGTCGCGTGCTGCGCCTGCATCAGAGTGACTGTTGCACGCCTGGGTCCGAGTTTTTGTTCTCTAAGGAGTGAAGAAAGAGAGCAAATAGCATCGGAGCTTAAGCCAGGCTGGTGGAGCGTGCTTTGTCTCTCGGCGTGGCCCTGCAAGAGGCCCTCTCCCTGGTTTCGGCTCTCACGGATGCCATGTGCGGTCGTGATGCAGGTGCCGAGGAAATGTGCTGCCATCTTCTACCGGGAGTGCCACTTCCAGGCCTGCTGACTCGGGGGTTGTCGGGTGGATAACGGTGAGTGCAGCAGGCCCTCTGCCTTCACGACATGGGCCAGGGCCTGGCCGCGGGCCGAAGACTTCTTCGAGTTGTGAGGGAAGCAGCCTGTGGTGCACAGAAGGCCCAGAACCCGCCGCGGAAGTCCAGCCTGGCGTTCTTCGGCCTTCTAGGAGGTCGGGCCCAGTGTTGCCAGAGAGATTATTGGCACACCTGCTAGTCAGAGAGTCCTACTGCGACTGCAGGGGTATCTTTGGTCGTTGTTGCATGTTGTTGCAGACAGAGAGATTTTGCTGCGTGCGTGGGCTGGCTGTTGTGTTGACATTGGCAGTCTTGCAACCACTTCTCTGGTCTCAGGTCACGCAGGGAGCGCATGAGATTAGATATTGTTCACTCTTGTGTGGGTGGGGCAGCAGGCAGTATAACGGCGTGCCCTGTTCCTGAATGCTGAAAGAGAAAGAAATCAAGAAAGATGCAAAGAAAGCCGTGAAGAATGGTAGCATCACCTTGGTGGAATTATTGGCATTTTTGTGAAGCTTCTTCGAGCACAGGTGACCAGAACCATCCAGAACCCTAGACCCTAGCAAAGAATAAACCTCATCAATTATATGTGAGCCTACCTAATTAAGTTGGTGAGAGAGCAAGCAACCCAACAAGACCCTCAACAAAAAAACAACCCTATGATACCAACCCTACAAACCCTATAGCTCATAGGCCCCACGGTTTAGGGTTTAGGGCCCTAGTAAAGCCTGGTAGCCTCGAGAAGCCCTAACTCAACTTTGCCAGGCCGGCGCTGCATTAACCCTAAACCCTAACCCCTACACCCTAAACCCTAAACCCGAAACCCTAAACCCCAAGCCCTAAACCCTAAACCCTAAACCCTAATCCCTAAGCCCCAAACCCTAAACCCTACTCCCCAAGCCCTAAACCCTACTTTGCCAGGCCGGCGCTGCATTGCATCGCTTTTCGAAGCCCTTGGCCTGCTTCTGCGCGAGCTGACGGGCGAGCGAGCGGGAGTTCCCCCCTCGGCCGTTGGTGCAAGCAGGGTTCCCTAGGATCAGGATCGTATAGTATAGAAGAGTATAGTATAGAATAGAATAGCATAGTATTGTGTAGAATAGTATAGTATAGAATAGTACTAGTATAGTAGAATATAGAACAGTATAGTGTAGTATAGTATGGGCATGGGTACCTGTGAGGGTTTCTGCAGGAGCTACTACAAGAGCTGTTGTTACTATAAGGTCCACTTATAGGATTCCTGTAAGCGTTTCTACAAGGGCTACTCTAAGCGCTGTTGCGACCTCAAGGGTTACGGTAAGGGTCTGTATAAGGTTGCTATAAGCAGACGTCTCAGCTGGAGAACTGTCACAGTCGTGTTAAGGGCTTACTTGGTCACGTCGTAGAGCTGAGGACCAGGTCTTCCTCGTCCATGCCGGCACGATGATCCAGCTCCTGGTCTGGTCCTGATGTGGCTGACAAGCTTCCGAAGCGACGACAGTATGACGAGCCTGCGTCCTCAGGTGGAAACTCTGCTGGCGTATTTCACAACATTTCAAGCGACGGTGGAGGAGGCGGAACAGGTCCTCTCGTTGCTGCCGCACGTGGCCGGGCACCAAGACTCTGCAAGACCCCTTTGCATGTCATCTTCAGTCCATGTCAGGTCACAAGCCAACATGCTCCAATCGGCCAGGTGGGGGAGTCCCGGAGCTTTATTCAGAGAAGGACCCCAGGGCCCACGGCTTTGCCAGGGCTTCACGGTGTCTGACCTGGACCTGGTCTTGAGGGAGGAGCCCGGGGCCATAGGGCCAAGAAGAGCTTCGGGGAACCATTCTTATTCCTGCTTTCTTGCCTCTCCTTCTGGTTCCTTGTAGATCGAGAGTAGATCGACGCAGGAGCACAACGATGTGAGCATCAAGCCTTTCTCTTGGATTTCTTCTCGCATCGATACCAGTAGCATGCGAGACTTGCGAATTGCCACCACAAGGCTTTGTCTGGTCCTGGTGTGCATGTGCCACTCGCAGGCCACCCTGATCTTCTGACCAGGAAGGTGGGCGAGGGCTTCACTGCACTGAGGCCTCCGGTGATGCGAAGCTCGCCCCGGCGAAGCTGCGTGAAGACGTCCTGCCATCGCAGATCAGACTGCAGGTGCGACGGCTACAAACATCAAACGTCTTAGTGTGGATGCTTTGACATTTGGACTTCAGGACTTGGCTGCAGAGGCGAGGACCTCTGCACTTTTGAGTGTGGCTTTGGCTAGCCCATTGGATCGGCGTCATGATGGAGAAGCACGTTGACTCTTACTGTACAGGGGGGGTTTTGGTTCAAGTTTAAGCTTTCGTGTTGATGTTTTTGGGCATCGGCAAGTACAGCAGTCATGTTTTTTCTTTTTGTATGTTTTCGACGCTGACGATTTGCAGCAAAGGGCACAGAGCGGTTGCAGGCAGGGAGCTTGCTGTCGGGCCCGTTTGGCCGGCTCCTGAGATCTTTGACGAGCCATGTGGGTGGTTGTCAAAACTATGGCCCCTTTTATGGTCCCGATTAAAATAGGCACTATTATTATACGGCACCTAAGATTTAGAGTACCTACAAAAGGGACTTTAATTTTGACAGCTATCCATGTGGTCATGGACACCCGGCTCCCTTGCGCGGAGAGTGGCTCTTTGTGCAAGGTCAGTTCTGGTCTGCTCGGATGTACATTAGAGTGCCTGCGAGATTTTTGGACATGATGCTGGTAAGCTTAGGGACGAAGGTGGAGCAGTGAGGGCAGCTTCGGATGAGAAACCCAGATAGGATGGTGCTGAGAGGGCAAACGTGAAACCGTGAAACCCCATGGGTGTTCTTTGTCTTTCCCTCTGGCAAAAGGAGAGACCAGGGCACCGGGCCACCACAAGACGGCAGGAATATCGGGCAGGAAAGTGGCCAGGGCAAGTCAGATGACGCGCCATGTAGGAGGCGGATGGAGGAGGGGGCTGTGCCCAAGCCTTTGTTGCAAGAGAGAACTGCCACTAATCTTCAGGCCAGAAGCTCCGGGCAGGCAACTACTGGAATGAGGAAAGCCAACTCGGCCTTGAGCTCAGAGTGAAGCTACGCATCTTTTGCACGACGTGTTCTTGTGGGGGCTGGGCTGAGAAGAGCTGAGCAACCTGTCAGCTGAGGCCAATTTTTATGTTTTGCCATCAGCGGCGTTCTGCTTGAAGATGTGGGGCCCTGGGGCTAGCCTTCCGCTGCCATTCTACTCTGTATATCCCCCCTGCCAAGGATCATGCACTTCGTGGCGGCTACGTGCGATGGCACTTTTTCCATTTCCTTCTGCATGAGGCTTCCCCGTAACGGCGCCTCCAGAACTGAAGCTGAGCTGCCGAAGCTGAGCAGGTGTTAATGTCGGCAGTTGCTGTACCAGACACCTGCGCGAGCCTCGCGCTGCAGACCTGGGTGAGTCTGAAGGTTTGGTCAACGTGAGAGGCACTGGCTTGTTGGTGCTGCGCTGCGTGAGTGAACTTCTCCAGCGAGCACTGCTTCCGGCCTGAATCTCAGCAAAACAGCTCGCTGGATTGGAAAGTCACAGAACACGATAGCAGGAGTGTCAGTTATCAAGTACTTCGGTTGGAGGGGTCAGCAAGAAACACATCAGAGTTCCCCTGACCTGAACCATGACGAGTTTTGGCTTCTGACGCTCGCTTGAGGTTGGGCGGCGATGGACAGCAGTGAAGAAGCTAGAAGCGCCAACGTCTCAGTTGCGAGACGGTGCTACGGTTCATGAAATAAATCCTGCGCATTGCCTCAATGACCCTAGGCTATGGGAATTATGGTATACTCCTTATTATGAGTATTTTTCAGGATTTTTATCATCAACTGTGTAGCTAGCTCTTCCCGAGCTTACAGCGAAGCGGAGCCTCCGAGCTTCCAAGGCAGGCGGTGCAAATGCGCCTGCTCACCCCAGACAGCCTTCAAATTTCTGCACTTCAAGTGCTGTCCGGGCCTCCGACCGTTGCCTTGCGAATCCAAGTTCTTATGAGCACCACTTCGGTGCGCAAGTGTGACAGAAAGTTAAAAGCTGTATTGCAAAGAGTTGCCGTCCGGACTCACAATGCATTTGCCCAGGAACCGGTTGTGTCGTCTACACCCACCAGCTTGTGAGATTTTCCGCGATGTCGCATTGCAGTGCACGGATTCATTCCACTTGCTGGGCGCTCATTTTCTTCGAAGAGTCGCTGATTGATGGAGCCATGTGGCCGATATTATATTATGTATGATGTGTTCGGCATCGCATATATGGATACTATTTTATATACTATATATGTCGTACTGCTATTTATATTATTATTTTCATCAGCATTATTGGTACTATCATGAGTATTACCGGCCGAGGACGCACCGCCAAATGGAAGGCTTCAGCCCTTGGTTACAGTCTCAGCAACCTGCACACGAAATGTAATCTCGAACTTGCTAGCGAGCTCTCCGAAGGTCAACAGCTGTTCCAGAACAAGTCCGTCGTGGGCTTACATAGGAGTTTCAGAACATAAGGAATGCATAGATACAGTAGAGCCCTAGTTAATAGTGATAGTGTTCTGAACGGTATTTAATATCGAGACCCAGCAAGGGAGCCCAAACTTTCGGAACCCCCACGGCAGAAGTCGTAACGACACGACCAAAGAGAGCCAACGTCTAAATCTTAATTAAACACTAGATCCAAACCCTACAAGCACTAGCCCTGCAAAGCCCTCTAAGCCGTTTAAGCCCTATATACTATAAGCCTAAACAGTTGAGCCGCGCAGCCTGCAAGGCGGCGGGGCGGTGTCGCCCTTCGACGCGACCTCGGAAGAGTCTGAGTTCGATGAAGACGATCTCGGCGCTACTTCACGAGCTGAACTGAACTTTGAAGGCTACTAGGGGCCCTTAGAGTTCTGGGGCTTGGGCTTCGGATTTTCGAGCATCGCCGACAAGAGCCTTTGACCTGCCTACTTGGCCCTGCATGTGATATCTTGAGCTGGCAAGATACGCCAGAACCCACCCTACATCTTAAAACCCTGAACAACCCTCAGCCGTATACTTATACTCTATACGCCAGAACCCACCCTAGATCTTAAACCCGAAACAACCCTAAACCGTAGTAAAATATACCCCAAACCCAACTCCCTACTGAACCCGGGTCCCACAAAGCCCACCACCAGCCATGAAGTTCGGAACCTCAAAAAGCAGCAGCTATCGATAGATAGCAAATAAAGAAGAGATGCATACATGAATAATTGCATAAATAAATGAGTATGTAAACGAATAGTTATATGTATACATATATATATAATGACATTTATATACATACAGCATGCATATGTGTACTTACTCTCATTGTGCCTGTGTGAAACTGTTCATAACGCATGTCTACTTATCAACTTGTTTCTTTATGCTGCCTTAACTTATGTGTTTGTACTCTCATCGGTCTGCCGATCTGTCTATCTAGCTGTTCATCTGCGGAGCTAGCTAGCCAGCTAGCTGCTAACTATGAACCTATCTATCTATCGATTCATTGATCTGTCGATGTATCTGTCTAGTTATGGACCTATCTATCTATCAATCTATTGCAATCTGTCTGTATGTATCTATGTATCCATGTATTCATGTATGTGTGTGCATGCGTGTATGTGTGTATGTATGTATGTGTGTATGTGTGTGTGTGTATGTGTGTATGCATGTATGTATGTATACCTATGTATACATTTTTTGCAGTTAAACTTATGTTGAGTATGCATATGTGTGTGTATGTATATATATATATATATATCACACACGCACACACACTTACTCACATGTTTTTGCATGCCGAGGCAGCACCTGCAATGCAGGCTACGGCGCCAAGACATGCCTTCCTGACAAGTTGCACCTCTTGTTAGCAGGGCCGCGAAACGTTTTCGCCCGGCCAGGACAATACCATGTTGTATGCCGAAATTCTGGATCTGGTTGCCACCATTTGTGCAAGAGGGTCCCGTACTCAGGGTTTTGGTCCTGTGCTTTGATGACTCCTACGCAGTCCTAGCACTCTGCATGCGTGAGAACCATCTGGGCAGCTGGCAAACATTCCATGGCGCTGTTGCTGCCACCGTACTGAAGATCAGCACGTGCTGCAGCTACCATTGCAGAAAACCATGTTTGTCGGTGGTGTTCTCAGGTCGTTGCAGACCGCGAGCCTCGTGTGCCAGAAGCTGCTGTTCAAAGCCCAGTTCAAGTTGTCAATCATTGCAACAAGCACTACAAGCCAAATCAATCAGAGCATGCACAAGGAAAGCAGCCAAGCCAGCAAACCTATGAACAAGCTACAGACAGGAACGGAGCAAAACAAACAGAAAAGCAGCTGGGCGCGCACGAAAGCAAGCAAGTGAGTCTGCAAGCAGGCCGCGAGAAATCATCCACCCAAACCACCACCGTCACTTCACACAGCGCCTTAAAACGTCCGCGAAGTTTTGATAAATCCAGTTTCTCACGTCGACACTGGGCGAAAGTTCATCAAGAGCGCAGGTCGCCCTCCCTTCAGGGTTTTTCATGATCGTGTATCCTCCCAGTTCTTGTTTAAGGTACCACGGTTGTGAGGGTGGGCCGCTTTGAGCTAGAGCCTGAACCCTATCCGCCCTCAGCGCTCGATTTGCCGAGGGTTGCTTTTGTCATGCTCCGCTGCCTTTGTCATGGATAGTGCCCGGGCAGCGCAAGGCTTCGGGTTTAACCCAACCCTAAACTCTAAAACCGGTTGTTGCTTCCTAAACATCCGCATCGCAGAACTGATAGGGCGTAATACATTCCTGGAAGAGCGGGCCCCTGAGTGGTCATGCCAGCAAGTTTAAGCAGTGATGCTGAGCTTGGGAGTAGATTGCAGAATGGATTCCTAAACCCCCAACCATGCATGAACCGACCGAGGAGGGCTTTGACAACTCCTTCCCCCCACTTAGCAGCCAGGAAGAATTTCTCTCTCGGTGTGTCCAGCGATGCGGAGACAGTATTCCGTTGAACAGCCAATTGGGTTTATCATGCAAGGTGTCTGGTCAAAGAGTGTGCAGCGGTTCATCGCAGCTAAGCTGTATGACGATCGCTGTGTCATCCGCATGCATTCAGCGCTGGAAAGCTTTCAATCAAGTGCATTTCTGTTCCAGTGCCGGGATCGCAAGTTGCAGGGCCCACACGATGTACCAATTGCAGACTCGAAGACAAAGTCCCGCATGCAGACGGACGCTCATGGACATGCACGCCCGCACCTTCCACAGACACACTGAGCTTCCCAGAACGGTCAAAGCAGCTGCAATGCTTCGCTGAAGCTGCTTGGGGGTTCATGGGACTTAGTAAGTACAGGTATAAGTACCCTAACTGGGGTTATATCCAATTATAAGTATAGTTACCTTATTCACAACCATAGTTACTAAGTCCCCATGCACCTTTAAGTGCTGTCTCGAGGTCACATAGCAACCAGTGGTTCAACTGGAGCTTCCTGCTTGACACTTTGATGCAGCACGCCCGAGCCTTCGGATAGCATCTGGTGTTCTGCCCGACACCTCTGTGGCTGAAGGCCAGAGTTCCTCCAAGCACCGGCGGAGGCCGAGTCTGCAAAGCACATAGTAACTTAGTAGCTGCGAGTGTTCGGTAAACTGAGGTCCTGGGCCGTCGGCCGGGGATGCGATGGTCATGGCTTTGTGCAGCGCCGGCCCGTGTTCCCTCCGGACTGGGCATGCTGAAACAGAAGCTTCTGTCTAGGGCTTGTCTAGAGACGAAGTACCCGGCCTCCCAGCCGAAAGAATACTAATGTAGGAAGCTGATTAAGAAAACCTGGGCCTATAACCCCAAAAAAGTAGGATGCATATGCTTAACGTTGAGTTGGTCAGGAACACACGCTCTTGCTTGCGTTGTGGCAGGCAGACTTGTTTCTGGTGCCTGTGGAGGTCGATTACTAGCCGCCGCCTCTTCGGGAAGGGCGTTTTGGGGTACTATAGGGGTTTAGGGGTTTAGGGTTCAGGGAGGTAAGGCTTGCGACACTGCAGGTCATGCAGCCGATCATGCAGCCCATCGCGAACAGCCTCAACTCAGGAGCTTTTTCCCCCCTTCGACTCGACTCCATCCTCGCATTGTGACGGCTTGACAGGGGTGGCCTCTTCTCTCGGCGATCCGTGGGGACGAGCGGAAAACCTTGCGGGCATCTTGGCGCAGAGCCCAGCATGGCTGTCGGCTCCGTGCATTCGAAGTGCATGCCCACCCTCCGTGGTTGGCTTTTCAGAGGTCGACGTGCTCAGTGCACATCCAGAACCAGCTGTCAAAGCTGCTTGCTTGGGTGCGTGCTGCACTCAGAAACCGTAGAGTTTTCTCGAAGCCGAAGCCTTTTTACAAGGCTGAATCGCAACCGGAGCTGAATGGCACCAGTGAAGAAGAAAGTTCAGACAGTTCAGGTGAACAGCAGCGAAGCTGGCATTTTGTGAAGACTCCACATGTCGGCATGTGTGGCCAGACACATGACATGTTACCACGACGTTGCCTCACATCGCCCAAGGATACTAGTATCCCTAGAACCTGGGTCATGGATGATGACACGTCGCAACAGCTCACAGGCCATTTCATGCAGCAGGCAGTCGTGGCATAGTGGTTTTCACACACAATCAGACATACGATGTACTCACTATGCCTAAATCATCCCAAATCTCGTCGGTGATTGCAGTATAGTGTGCTTGACTGAAGCCGCCTTTTAAGGCTCGTCTTAGAGGGTGCAGCTGTAGGTCCGTGGGCCCCAGTGATCTCCATCAACTGCACTTGAGAGTGTTCCCCATGTCCTGTTTTTGTATGGGAATTACTGCACTTGTTGTTCAAGCTCGTGCCCTACCATTCTTGTGAAGATGTTATTTGCCGCTTTGCCCAAGTAACTCGTGGGCCACTTCCTGCGCGCGTTGCTAACGTAGTGTAAAACCTGAGTTCAGGTTGGGCAACTTGGACCTGCCTCCACCTCAAGTCACGGACTTATGAGGCGAACATCGTAGGTCCGGAACATGTTAAAATTTTCTTCAACATCACTCAGGTGAGCAGGAACATTATTTCCTCCATCTTGATGGCCGTTCCTAGCCTTGTTCCCTTCGTCGAACATCCGCGCGTTTGTGTCCATGGCTGAGTATGCAGCGTTCAAGCGCTTTGCTTTGACACTCTGGTCATCACATGTATTGCCCTAAGGACGGTGCGGTCGCCATAGAGCTGCTGGCCTGTGTGATTCGCTTTCTGCAGGCGCATCTTTCAGCCATTTCATTTTTGGATTGGGTGAGCTTTCGAAGCAGAAGGCCATCCCGATCAGCAAGGGCCGCTATGGCTTGGACCTGCAGCCCCTCACGCATGTGGTGATCCACCAGGCTCTCGGTGATTTTCAACAGGCCAACAGAAGCGGAAGCCGCGGCGCAGCCGAAGCGGCTAAGCAGGTGCTGTTGAAGGCCCTTGCCGAGCCATCTGCATTTCGAAGCAGCTCTCGGTACTGGAGGCTGGCAGCCCGGAGCTCAGAACCCAGAGATTCACAGCAACTTCCTTGGCTACGACAGTCCTGGAGTTTGGTGGCCAGGCATTGGCGCTGCGATGGCTTCGTCTTGTGCTGTTGCAAGCTGAGACTTGTTGCCACCCGTGCCTTGCAAAGTTTGGTTGAGCGTGTGGATTCAGGCGTGGACCTTTGCCGATGAGCACTTCCTCCAGTCTCAATGCTTTGATTGTGAGGCCACTCTCGTTCCCTTTCGGCCCTGGCGACCCTGGCCTGTCTCCAGGCCGTACAGTGACAGCGACAGCACCGCAGCCGAAGTCTCCATGCAGCCTCCCCAATGAGCGCAAACGCTTGGGGAAGAGGGTAGAAAAACTTCAGAAACATTTCTGCTGCAGCCGCTGTGCCTCTGAGGCGTTGCGCTACGGGCAACGCCACAGCCTATGCGTTCAGGTCCGCATCCTAGCAAAGCCTCCTTTTCATGTAGTGCAATCCAGAAGTGTAAGTTTAAGCGGCATGGCACCGTCAGCAGGTGCTTGCTGAGCTTGGACTCGCCTGTCTTCGCTCGAGTGTGCGCCGTCCAAGCGCAGAAAGAGCAGTCGATCTTCCAGAGATGAAACTTCAGAGTTGCAGCGCCATCGTTTGTAAGTCAGACGGCACGGCCGCCAGGTTGTATCTCACTACGCTCCAGGGGCACGCAATGGACGGGCCGGGTCCTTGCTTTGCCATGGCATGGTGCGTGGCAACATGATAGCACCCGAAGTTGCAGGCTTACAAATGGAAGAAGAGCAGATGCCTCTCAAGCATACCTGGAACAGTGTGCTCGACATGGCCTGGATGTTGTCCGGGCCCACAGCAGCATTCTGTGATTCGGGCAAGCTTCTTCTTCTTTCAAGGTCCGCATTCTACTGCAGCGAGACGTGCTTTTCTCCCGCCTACATGCCCAAAACACCTCTGAGCGAGCTCTTTCCAGCATGTGGTCTGGTGCGGCATTCCTGCAGGCATCCGCTTTTGAATCTAGCGACTTAACTGGAGCCGCAAATCGCAAGAGCCCGGAGGACGGTCCGATTCTGCCGACTCATCGGCTACTTCTGGCCGAGTTTGCATTCACCTACCCACCTGGAGGGTCAGGCACCGTTCATGGCCTTGCGGCTGTGGTGCTTGTGGTATCGCCGTTCAATGCTGTCAGGCCGTAGCAGCTCCTTCTCTGCCTTCAACCCGTTTTGGTCACAGAGGCCTGGGCGTCCTCAAAGCCAGCTGCATATTGCACAAACTTTTGCCCGTAACAACCTCTCAGCAATGCTTCTGGGGATGAGTCCAGCAAGCACTGTCAGGCCTCATTTCGAGCAGACGGAGTCGCCAGATGCTTCGGCAGATTCCTCGGTGTTGGCGGCCGTCAGAAATTGTCTGCAGTTCGTTTAACGGTTTAAAGTGGTCAGGCAGGAAGCAGGCGACACAATCCCAGCTACCTGGCACTGCTCTCCGAGTTCGTGGGTGTTCGCCGTGAGCCTACACGCTTCCCAGAGAGTCCAATATGCCTTAATTAGGGAATGTACCTTATAAGTTATAGTAGGATCCCTAATTGATTTAAGGTGTATTCACTAATAAAGGGATATTGGAGTCTCTGTCTTTCTTTCAATGGCAGTGTTTGAACTTTGCCTTCCCTGAGGTTCACACAACGGGATCGGACGCCTAGCTCTCTTCGTCTTCATGCAATGCTCCTACCGCGAGCCACAGCGGGTGCCTGACCCGGTCGAGTTGAGATGGAGCCTTCTGCCTGCAGTAGTCCGAAGTGATTCTTGGCAGGTTCTTCGGCTTCTGCAGCTGGAGCAACTGCCTCAGAACAGGGGTGACAGTATACTATGGTATATTTCAGTACAATAGTATTATAGTATACCATGGTACATACTATAGTATGTTAAAGTATGCCATAGTATGGCGCAGTATACTGCAGTACAATTCTGGGCCTCCCTCGTTCTGACGTGGGAAGCTCTTAGGCCTTGGAGGCTGGTGGCCCTCAGTGCCGCACTCTACGATCGCATCGTGGAGCAGCGGCCTCAGTCGGACTAAGATAGTACCCTAAATGGTCGGATCCTTATTACAAGGACCCCGAAATACGGTGCCTCTCAGCATCAGTCACCATCAGTATGGTTGATGATACAGATCCTGCGATGCCCATAGCAAGGAATATACCATAATTCCCATAGTCTAGGGCCATTATGGTAGTGCAGGATTTCTATATCATCAACCGTATCACTTCCCACAAACCCTTTCTTGCCTCCGTCGCTGATGGAACATTAGTTAGACATATGGGAGTTTCCGAAAATAGGGGACTCAAATATAGTACCCTAAATAGTAGGATCCTAATTATAAGGACCCCTGAATAAGATACCCCCTATTTTCGGAAACTCCCATATCCATCCTTCGGTGATGCTCGGGACCAAGGCCTGATGAGGGCGAGGCCTGCAAGGAGGCTCTGACCGCTGCGAAGTCACAAGGCGAAGCTGTCTCTTTCCTGTGCGATGCATCTTTGCGTCATTCTTCAAATCATCGTTGAGACACATTGAGGCAAGACGTGGGACAAAAGCACGGAAGCTTACTTCATGCACGAGGCAGCCACCACGGCCTTTATGCATGGGTATGAGCCATCCACGTTCTTCCATGCCTGCGAAGAGGCCATGGAGATCGATGCGTCTCCTGACTTCTGCCATTTGGATGTCACCTCTTTCGAAACTGCCCTGCCGCTCTGCCGCGCCGTCGATGCCTCAGATTGCACGCAGATCTCTGAATTCAACTCTCGATGTGACCCCGCGTTGATGAATTCTTCACTCTGCATCACAGACGCCGACCCTCTCTTCTCAAGAAGGGAAATTCACACACTGCACTACCTGCTTGCAAAAGCCATGCCAAAATGACCTGACGTGCAGATGGTGGCGTTTGCTTCGGAATGAAGTTTTTTTTTCTTTATGCTTCCTTATTGCGATTGTCGACTCTGTCGACCCTCTTACGGCCATCGCCGGGGAGGTTTGTCGATAGACATCGGGGGTTGAACATCCTTAGAAAGTGAAGCCAGTCTTGCGAGAGAGTTGGCTCTGAACAATATCGAGGCTCATGATGTGGAGAAGGCAAGCGCAGTCCTTTCTCCCAACCAACTCGTTTTGACAGAGGAAATACAGCCACAACCACGCCCGACGCCGAAGTCCTTCTCTGAGGGTGCCGGCTTGCTTCGCCACTCACATTGACTTTTCCAGACTGCAGCTGTTTGTGCAGGGATTTGACTCAGAGTCTTAACCAATCTTCCAGCGGATGTGCTCGACCGTAAATGCCAATTGTCCGACGATATTGCATCCATTAACTTACACTTATGTCGGCGACCACCGGCAACCCTACGGTGCATTACCCATCGAAAAGAAAGGGGCAACTAGAGTCCACATGAAACACAGGCGATGCGTCCCTGAAGAGCTTCGCATGCTGTTGTTTTTTTGCTTTTGTGCCCTTGTACTGATTCCTGTCTGCTTTCCGCGGGGTTACGTGCATGTATTATGTAAACACTGTGGGTATGTGGTTATTTACTGCTTGGAGGACGTGGGGCGTCGTGCAGGTTTGTTTTGAGCCAAGGTCGATCTGCTACAGCAGCTTGCAGAAGATTCTGTGGTTCAGGCCACTTGACTTAGCTTACCTTTGGTTAGTAGGGAATGGACGAATGGTAGTAATAGTGGTTATAATTGTACCCCATTCCTGCATTCCCTACTAACCCAAGGTAAGTTAGCTGCCCGGCCCGGAGTTGTGCACGCGTGGGAAGCAAAGTGCTGAGGCTGCTGACATTTCAGTGTGGGCTCGGGGCTCCTCTGCTGAAGGAGCTGCGATTGCTGTGGATCACTTTGATACATATTTCTAACTATCTATATCTGTATATGTACATATATACATATGTATATATGTACATATTTTCTTATTTGTGTTTTGGTTCCGGCGTGCCCAGTTCCAGGATCGGATGCTGGTGCGTCGAGCTTGCGGGGGTGTGCATCTTCGGATGCGTCGCTATTCAGGGCAGCCTACTTACGAGGCAGGGCGAGGGTGCTGCTAAGATGTCTAAGATTCACGTACAGGCCCGGAGCAAGGGAAAGCAAAGCAAGCATGGAAGGGCAGGCTGTCAAGGCCTTTAACTTGCGTTTTGCAGGTTTCGACATTCCAGCCCATTGGCTCTCGCACGGAGCCACTTCCTTGATGGCCGTCATCCAGAATGAAAATACGGTCCAACTGCCCTTTGCTGCCTTGGCAGCAGTGCAGACCTCAGAATCCCAGAACCTGAGCCCAACACCCAAAAGTATCAAAAATGTGCGAAGCCTGACTAGATGCAAGCCCAGGAGTCCAGCCGATCCTTGACCCTGCGCTTCTTTCTTCTCCTCCTTGGAGGCCCTGGGCCCAGTGAGTGCTCCTGGGGTTCGGACTCATCACCTGAATAGTAGGATCCTCATTTATGAGGACCCCAAAATAAGGCAATTACCCTCAACCTTAAGCCGGTAGCGATCCCCTATAGAACCCTTACAGGAACCCTAAAAAGACCCTAAAATGCCGGCTGAGATACCACGGCGGACAGCTCTGCGCCATCCCAGAGCCTCGCGCAGCTCCTCCTGGGACACGCCCTCAGAGCTTCTCTCCAGAGACTCCAATATGGGTCCTTATAGTAAGGATCCCTAATCCCTAACTAAGGGATATTTAGGGAGTTTCCGAAATTCCGGGGTACCTTATTTTAGGGTCCTTATAGTAAGGATCCTACTATTTAGGGTACTATAATAGGGTCCCCTATTTTCGGAGACTCCACTGTGGGTGGTTGTCAATATTAGGGTCCCTTTTTGGGTCCCTTTTTTCATACGGCACCTATTATTTTGGGTACCCAAAAAGGGCCATAATCTTGACAAGTACCCATATAGAAGTTTCCGAAAATAGGGGACCCTATTATAGTACCCTAAATAGTAGGATCCTTACTATAAGGACCCCAAAATAAGGTACCCCGAAGTTTCGGAAACTCCCTAAATATCCCTTAGTTGGGGATTAGGGATCCTCCTACAATTGGAGGTATATTCCCTAGTGAACGCGTACTGGAGTCTCTGGGTCCTTGTCGTGGATGCCGCTTGCCACAAGCACAGTCAGTGGAAAGTTTGCATGTATCTTCGGGGGCACTGAATCGTGAAATGAAGCGGCGAAAGTTCCTGAAGGACTCGATCCGAATGGCGAATCTTCAGGTTCGGCAGGGAAGGGGTGGAGTGAATCCGTGAGTCGCTCTGAAGTCCTACAAGGCTTCGTCGATATTGACCAGACAAGGGCCGGAAATCCATCCGCCCTTGACGCGCTGATGCTGCTGTGCATGCCCCAGTTTTCCTTTTCAGGGTTCCTTTAAGGCTTTAAGGGTGATTTCCTTTCAGGGTTCCTTTAAGGCGTTAAGGGTGATTTCCTTTCAGCGTTCCTTTAAGGCGGTAAGGGTGATTTCCTTTCAGGGTTCCTTTAAGGCTTCTTTTCGGGTTCTTATCCACAGTGTGCAAGACGCACACCGCTGCTCGCGTGAAAGCTCATGCGAAACCTCATGTGCTCTGCGAGGCTGCGAGGGTTTCTCATCCACCCAGTTGGCACGTTGGAGACCGTGAAAGGCATCCCCCTTTGCCCCAGTATCCTTACTAAAGCATACCCCAAAAGCCCCGAAACCCGAAACCTGCACTCCAAATACCCCAATCTCCTAAACCCTAAACCCTACACCCTAAACCCTAAACCCTACACCCTAAACCCTAAACCCTACACCCTAAACCCTAAACCCTACACCCTAAACCCTAAACCTGAAATGCTTTCTGAGGTTGGAAAATCCTCCCAGCTTACCAGCCTGGATCGACAGCGGCGCTCCAAGGACCTGGTCCTTCTTAGAGTTTTTGGGTTTAGGGTTCAGTGTTTTAGGGATTAGGCTTTGGGGTTTTGGTGTTTAGGGTTTTAAGGTTTGGGGTTTTGGGTTGAGTGTTCAGGGTTTCAAGGTCCAGCGTATTAACTACAGTGGCTAGCATTTGCCTGTCTCCACCTTCTGCGACCACCTGCCCTTCTTGCTTATCTCTGCAGACCCTGCAGTTTGCCCTTAACCCTAAACCCTAAACCCTAAAGCTTCGGTGGCAGGTCATCGAGCAGGGCCTTGCAGCCACGCAGCGCCACGCAGCCAGAGATCCAAGAGGCTCGGCCTCTGCAAATCAAAGCAGCGCCCTGTAAAAGGACTCTACTTAAAGGATCATGGGACTCAGTAAGTAGGGTTATAAGTTATAAGTAAAGTAACTACAGTTATGATTACTCATAACCCCCATTTGAGTACCTATAACCCTACTTACTAAGTCCCATGATCCTCCAATTACGAGCGCCACCCGAGGCGATTCGGAACCACTCAGCCTACGAAGCTTCCTTGTCTGTCGTGCTCAGCCTCTTGGCGGGGGACCCAGCAAAGCGGTTTAGGGTTTAGGGATTGGGGGTTTAGGGTTTAGGGTTGCGCAAAGTTCCAAGAGCCAGGAAACATAATGTCAGAACGAGGCATAAGCGAGTCAGATACCAGCTTGGGTCGAAGCGTGGGGTCAAATTCATGAAGTTTGGATGTATTTGACCCTTAACCGGAAGCCCATGAATAATGAAGAACCAGGAGTAGTGGAGGTATTATGATTATAACCCGAGGTTGAACATGCAACTGTTGTACCTTTAGGCAGCCGTCGCTAGTTGAGTCCTTCGTGTCGTATGGTTTCCTCTCGGCCTATTCTAAGTTCTGCCTCAACTAGCTGCTTCCAACCTTGATGCGGTATTTTTCAAGCCCCGAAGTTTGACAAATCACGGTCGTGACACACACCCTTTGCTCTTCTCCGGATCTTCTTCAGTCGAGTCCAACTTGATCTGTTGCGCAATATGGGGTATTTGCATTGCGCTGGATTCCATCCGTGCCTGGACGGAGTAAATCGGGTTGCTCGAACACGACTGTTGTGTATTGCATTATCTGCCTATCTATCTTGCTATCTATCTATCTATCTATCGTAGCCGTCTATCTACCTGTATACATGTATATGTATGCATCTATGTAAAATGTCTTGTATATCCGTATCCATAAATGTACCATTGTGGATTTAGTTTGCTCATTTTACTATGTAAGATGATGTTATTGCTTATCGTGTCAGAAAAGAGATGATCGGAGGGATGTGACTCCAAGGCCATGCCGGCCCTCCGAGACGTGGTCTTGAGGTACATGTGCCACGCATGGACCTCCCGCTATCGCGCCAGGGCCCTATCCAAACCTTACGAGGCTCTCTGGATCCTTGCGGGTTTAGGGCTTTGGGAGAAAGGAGAGTGTGCAGGCCTTTTAAATCATCCTTCATGTTTGGAGGGCCTATGTATGCCTATGTTTTGAAGTTGAACCTGGGCCTATGTTTTGAAGTTGAACCCAACTGTGGGATGGCGCAAGTTATGAAGAAAGCAGCCTGGCCTGCATGAGCCATCTGAGGTCCTAAAGAGCCTCTTGGCCGTTTCATGGCTCCGGGCTCAAAAAGCACGGCGACAAACAGCCGACGAGTTGCAGCCTTGAGCTTCAGTCATATTCAGGTCCTCCTTGGCAACCTCGCTCCAGCGCATCCTGCTCTCTGAAGCCGCGCTCATCCTCCAGGCACAGACCAAAAGATGGACACATTCTCAGGTTCTCGGCACTTGAGCACAGTCTATACTGTGTCGGTGTCAGCATCTCGAACGGTAAGCTCAAGACATGCGGACTTAGTGCTACCAAGATTAGGAATGCCTACAGTGTCAGCACCAGGACTGGCGAAAAAATATCAATCCACTTAGTCCTGTACGTTTTCGGGACCCTGTGGACACATCAGCATCTGACCGAGTTCAGTCTGCAATCGACAGGTCTGCGCTTGGGAGATGCGTCTGGTGTGGCCTTCTGGCCGTCCACCCATGGAACATCTCGACACCACGGCAGATATCCTGGGACAACAGCTGCTTGCCAAGAACCAGAGCTCTGGCTTGGTTTTGCTTTCGATCGACTGTCCCATAAAATCTCTTGTCGGTCTTTTTTCGTTGATTGTCCCATGCATTTCGGGTTAGGGTTTAGAGTTTAGGGGTTTAGGGTTCAGGGCCCTGCTTCTCTCCGGGACTCCCTCTTCGCGCTAAAGCCATCTTGAGCCCTTTTATTGCTTGCCGGAACTGAGTGCGTGGTCTTTTGTTCCCGAGGCATGAGTCATGAGTCGATGGAGAGACCTTTGAGTGCTCAGGCGTTTGGACATGAAGATGAATGTGTCAGAGCACTTGCAGGCTCTTGGCTGATTCGAGTAGTTGAGAGCTTCTGTCCGCGGTCTTGCCAGCCATCTGATTGCAGGAGGTGGTCTGCGATCTCATCTCCCACAGCGACAGCGGACTTTCAGGGTCTCGACCCAAGAATTGAGCGCGAAATATGGAGTTGGAGAAGCGCGTCGGAGCATGTGGGCGCAGGCACACGAGCATGCCATACCTGGTCAACGCAGCTTTGCGCCTCGCCGACGCCTGCGACGTCGTCGACAAGGTTGTTGGCTCCGCGGCCTTGCAGGTGCGCGGCCGTGTGCAGAGAAGCTGGCCATGTTTACAGATCAACATGATATCATATCATGTTGCAAAACGGTAATGCTGTCACGATTTTTGAATGCAGGGGTCGGACTCCGTGCTGTTCGGCCGAGATGCCATGCAGGCAGGGCGCCGTCAACCAACCTTTTCAAGAAGGGTCTTGCGAGCATTTAAGTTCATTACAGCTCGAAGCTGACCACGTGCAGCTGTGCATGGTCTAAATGCGGATGGGAAAGATCTACTGCGCCAGAGTTCTCTGCACGGACACAGACATTGAAAGTGATCTCCCCGGTTCAGTTTGTATCTTGGCGAGTAGTGGGTTTTCAAGAAGACGATGATCTGAATTCCTAATGACCCCAACTTCAAGAACCCCCTCCAAACCTTTCGCCCTTATCGAAGATTGGCATTCGAAAATGAACTACTACAGTATAGTATAGTATAGTATCGTATAGTATGTAGTATGGTCTTGTATAGCATAGTAATATAATCGGCCTCACTCATGTCAATCCCTCTTCAGGCTTGGTCGCCTCACTGATTCAGGAAGCTTCGGCCACTGCAGGAAGCTCACATACAGCCCTATAGACCCCATCAATACTGGATATAGGACATAGGACTCCATGCAATGCACAAGCCCAACAACCCCAAGCCAACGATCTGAACCTCTAACTCTAACCATCTCCAAGCTGACCCTCAACTCCCAAGCCCCTGAACCCAGAACCCCTACAGTCCTTACCCGCAAAGCCCTACTCGTAGTAGATTCTACTCTACTATATACCATATACTGTATACTATATACAATATACTATGCTATACAAAACCATACTACATACTATACGAAAAGATACTATACTATGCTATACTGTAGTAGTGCCAGGATCAGCTCCGCGCATCGACCTGCCAGTGCATGGCGCCTGCGAAAGCAGGGGGTGCTCTGAGCCGCAAGCTAGAGCTGCAGGACCCTGGGTTTCATGTTGTATATATATATATATATATGTGTGTATATCGTATTATGTATGTATGTGTATGTGTATATATATATATATATATATATACAGGTACATATATATTGTACTGCTTATATACATAGTATAAGATCCTCAGTGGTCTTAGCCTCTGAAAGGCCTTTGGTTTCGGCTCTGGGCCTCGCTTCGTGCCTTGCGAGGACCCACATCTGCTTTTGCACCTGTCCGGGCTGAGCTATCTGCTCAGCGCAACCGAAGCCGAAGGTCGGGGACCCTAAAGTACAGTCTCCTAGTCTCCTTAGGAATTCTCTCTCATTTTTGTTCATTTTAAAACCCAAGAGAATATTAGAAAAAATGTGTTTGTTATGCTTCTAAGGGGTGTGTAGAAAAAGCCCTCCATCACGGTCGTGCAACCGCGGCAGAACTCACGGAGCCCTGCGCATTCCGAGGTGACCGGTCCCGTTTCGCCGCAGATCTGCAGTTGCTCTGCTCTCGCAACGAATATGTCGGGTGCTCTGAATGCTGCATTCGGCAGTGTTCCCCACCGAGCAGGTTTTGAATTTAGAGTCGAGTGTCAGCGTTGTCGTACTGCTCAGGCTAATGTATCAATGGAACGTAGTGTCATGCCAGGTAATGAAGCGAAAATGTAGTGTACTCGGGCGTAATGTTGTGTAGTGTAACCTAGCATAATTTAGTGAAGTGTCAGGTAAGCTTAGGAAACTTATTGCATGTATGCATGTATGGATGGATGGATTAAGGGACGGACCGACGTATGTACGGTGTAGGCATGCATGCATGCATGCATGCATGCATGCATGCATGCATGCATGGAAATATGTAGGCATGCAATGTGATTGTGTAGACAGTGTAGACATTCAACGTAGGTATGCAGGCATGCAGACATGTGTGTGTGTGTGTATGTGTGCGTATGATGAATGCATGAACGCATGGATGTGTGAAAGTTGATGGCCACTTGCGCATCAATGGCAGCCTTTTCGATGCGCAGATGTTCCTCTTGCTATGTATTCTGTATTTGTGTCTGAACTTATGAACGTTTGTATGCACGTCCGCGTGGTCTATGTAATATGTGTATGCATACAAAATGGTATAGGCTTGTACTATCTACATCCATATATACATGTGTATATATATATAAATATAAACTTATATGTATGTACGTACGCATGTAACCCCAGCTTTAAACCGAATACGATTCAACTTATCTTGATATAAAGTATAAACTGGTAAGAGCATGTGTAGCTTACTTCCTGACCGCACACATACGTATGTATAGCGCGCACACCCGCAGCAAGTTGACATACATGTGCATATACATATATATATATATACAGATGTATGTATGTATGTATGTATATATCTATATATACATATAGATAGATTATGCATATATATTTACATACACACACACTTTTTGCGTCTATATGTTTATGTATACATATATGCCATATCTATACACATACACATGCGTATTCTGTAACGGCATGCAGATACGTGTATACAGACATACGCAAGTGCATTGCATCTACACTCGACCTTAGGGTTCTGCGTGATCTTGCGGGTCGGCGTTCGTTTGTTTTTTTTTTTTTTCTGGAGTTGTATCTTCCCTGCTTATCTCCTGTCCCAGTCTTGCCCCTCTCGAAGTAACAGTGGCAACGCCTTGAGGCCTGCATTTCCTACTACACCGAGTGTGCATGCCGGCTTCCCAGAAAGCGGTGGCTTTGGCACAGCTGTAAACGACTCGAATTCGCCCAGGCAGCGGGTTGACAACCTTCGTTTCAGCGGCTCTTTCCCACCTGGTCGGCCCAGCCAGTTTGCTCAAGGAGTGGCTTTAGTTGTGGCCACAGCCTTGTGCAGCAGTGACTTTGCAGCCTCAACTTCCGGACCAGCTCGTCAGAGCACTGCTTGCAACGCGTGCTGTTGAAGCTTGAAAACCATCGTTCTCCGGAAAGTAAAGTCGCTCGCGCGTTCGTGCTCCAAGTCGCACGGCACATCGTTGAGACTTATGCCAGGTTGGCAGACCCCGGGCGATGATCGGAAGTAGCGAGTCAGATTCGAGGGCGCAGGTGGGGGCCCCCAAAGCCCTAAAGCCCCTAAAGCCCCCGAAAACCCCAAAAGGCCCCTAAAGCCCCTAAAGCCCTCTTCTCCACCTCTCTTCTCCTCTTTTCCTGCCTCCGAAGGCTGCCAGAGCTCACCTGGAGGCTCTGCTCCCCGCCATGGCCGCCGAGGAAGCGGGAGCCGAAGCTCCCCGAAGACTCGAGCTCCTCTCAGGCCCGGGACTGGGACAACCTATATATGTGTGTATATATATATATAATATGTATATATATATACACACACACACACACACACACACACACACACACACACACACACACACACACACACACACACACACACACACACACACACACACACACACACACACACACACACACACACACACACACACACACACACACACACACACACACACACACACACACACACACACACACACACACACACACACACACACACACACACACACACACACACACACACACACACACACACACACACACACACACACACACACACACACACACACACACACACACACACACACAACACACACACACACACCACACACACACACACACACACACACACACAACACACACACACCACACACACACACACACACACACACACACACACACACACACACACACACACACACACACACACACACACACACACACACACACACCACACACACACACACACACACACACACACACACACACACACACACACACACACACACACACACACACACACACACACACACACACACACACACACACACACACACACACACACACACACACACACACACACACACACACACACACACACACACACACACACACACACACACACACACACACACACACACACACACACACACACACACACACACACACACACACACACACACACACACACACACACACACACACACACACACACACACACACACACACACACACACACACACACACACACACACACACACACACACACACACACACACACACACACACCACACACACACACACACACACACACACACACACACACACACACACACACACACACACACACACACACACACACACACACACACACACACACACACACACACACACACACACACACACACACACACACACACACACACACACACACACACACACACACACACACACACACACACACACACACACACACACACACACACACACACACACACACACACACACACCACACACACACACACACACCAAACACACACACACACACACACACACACACACACACACACACACACACACACACACACACACACACACACACACACACACACACACACACACACACCACACCACACACACACACACACACACACACCACACACACACACACACACACACACACACACACACACACACACACACACACACACACACACACACACACACACATTTTTTCTTTTTTTGGGGGGGGGGGGACGCGGACGCGTCTGGGGCTTTGGGTGCGGGCCCATAGGAATCGAAGGGGTTGAGAGTCTCAGGGTTTTTCGGGTTTTCGGGCTTCAGGGCTCTAGGGTGTCCAGACTTTTTGCAGTGAAGGCTGAGAGAGGTAGGACGGTTCTGAAGCGCAGGACTGGCGACAGCTTTCCTGGCTGCAATGATCGAGCGATCCAAGGCGCCAGATGAGTCAAGAAGAGCAGGGTAGAGGATTTCGAGTTCAGGGTCCAGGGTTCCAAGGCCTGAAAAGTAGGGAAGATGAAGCTTGAAACAGACATGATTCATCAGCCTTCTTCTCCCTGCCTTGGTCACAGCTTGAAGAGGCTCCGCCACTTGCCTTCGTCCGGCGGGTGTACGTGTTGCTGAGCGGAGCATTGGTTCGACCTCTGGCCGTGTCTCGCGAGTCCCGCCGAAACCTCCAGGAGGCGACCGGGTGGTCGTGCTCTATAAGGGTACTATAAGGGATACTACAAGGGTACTATAAGGGATACTATAAGGGTACTATAAGGGATACTATAAGGGGCTTCTGAGTTTCCTCTGAGTTGCAGCTTGGAGTGATGGGATCGAGGCGTTGCTGGTCCTACTTCAACGGATGCTGCCGGACCAGGCTTGGAACTACAGTCAGAGGGTCTGAGAGTGACCCATGGCGAACCCTGGATCCCTTGTAGTATCCCCTCTAGCACCCTTAGAGTATCCCTTATAGTACCCTTGTAGTATCCCCTATAGTACCCATTATAGTATCCCTTATAGTATCCTCGAGGCACTTGACGTCGCCATGGGATTCCAGCTGCCGGACCTGGAAGCTGAGGCACGCGGCGTTTGAGGTGCTTGGCAACCCAGAGACTCCAATATCCCTTAATTAAGGAATATACCTTAAATTGTAATAGGATCCCTAATATGATTTAAGGAAGATTCCTTAATTAAGGGATATTGGAGTCTCTGGGAAGAGAGAGCAGACTCCTCCGGCCCTTTTGTTTCCAGGATGCGACGGAGCTTGCCAGACTGGTCTCCTCTCTAATGGCTGCCGAGATGGCCGAAGCACCGTGGCTCAGAGTTTCAGAGTCAGATCGGCATGTTGACAGTCAGAGCAAGCTTCAGGGACCTCGAGCGATTTTTTGCTTCTCTGCTCTTGGCAAGGTTTGTTTGACACACCGCTATTTGCCGCGGTTTGGGTCCCGAAACCTCCGCACCCCCAACGCAGAACCAGGACCCCTCCCCAAAAGCCCCAAAGTGTCCTCATTTGGGCCGGCAGGCAGAGCATGTTGCCGAGTCAGACCCGAGCTCAAATGGACCTGGAGTTTCGCTTCCCCTCCTATGTGGCCTGATGACGCGGGTGCCTGCAAGGCAGCTCTCTACCGTTTTTTCTGGGCTATGGCGGCAACTCACGGAGCTTATTCAGGCGGGATCACAAGCGTCTCTTCGAGATGCCAACTGCCTGCGGCATCTGCATGGCAGCGCTTTAGCCGCGATCCTTTGCCAGTCACCCGAGTCTGCCAGTGCATTCTTCGAAGCCGGAGGGCTGTCTGCAGTGCTACGGCCAGAGATGCTGCAGGGCAAGATGCGATTGGCTCCAGCCGGGCTGCACGCCTTGGACACGGTTCATCCGGCTGCCTTGGTTTCTGTCTTGCAGGTTTTGGTGGCAATGATTGGTGTCTTACCTACGCACAACCTGGTGCTACAGAGCGCGCTGCAGTGGCTTGAGAGGCATCTACAGCCTCTTCTCGACGTCATGCAATGGGTGACCCGGCTGCCGTTCACTACATCCTCGGAGCCGAGAGCACGGGCCGTGGGTGGCGCAAGTCCCAGCAGTGTGGTGGCAGCCCTTGCCGCAAGAACTGGTCGGAGTGCGGGCAGGGAAGGTCCGGATGCTATGTTGGTCGTCTGCAGGTCTCCGCAGAATCCACAGACTTCCGCCAGCACTACACGAGACTTATGCGTAGACGGGCTTGCCTTCTGGCTCAGCGGGCGCTGCTCCATGAGTAGTGGCTCTTCCGTCGGTGCAGATGACAAATATGCCGACGGCATCGCACTCTGCCACCGCTGTTTGGCATTGTTTGTGGAGCTGTGGTCACTTGTGCACGTTTCAGTGGCGCGAAGAAGGAAGTATGCCGCAGGAAAGGCGGATGTTTATCGAGCCCAGCTAGAGAAGCTGGAGCCGATGATCCATGCAGCACTTCCAGGGCTCTTGATGCAAGTTGCAAGTGCTTCCACACCAGATCCAGACAGCATGTCGGACGCAGATGGCAGTGCTGGCAACGCAATGCTGCTTGAAGCTCTGCGCCCATCTGAGGTGACCCAGCACAGAATCATCTCCAACATTTTGCAGATCTGGAGATATGACAGCATCACCCAGCACATAAAGATGCTTGCTACCAAACACCCCCAAGCGCAACCAAGTGCAGAGAGTGCATGGGCACTCTGGCAGCAAGTGCAACAAACAGGGCCTTTTCAACAGGTCACGCACGGAACTGGGATGTCCCAGTCCATCGTTGGAGAGGTGAAGGTCCGCTCTGGCGTGTTGTGCGCCGTCTTCGTGCATGCGTGCTGCAAATTCTTGAGCCTAAGACTTTCTGATCCGCTCCCAGTGCGCAGCGAGGGAGATACCCTTGCTTCTCTCGAAGCGACTGTCGATGGACAAGGCGGACATGGCGAGCAGCTGCATTTCGATGGAGTTCCTGCCACATTCACCCAATTGCTTTACGTTGTAGAGATTTCTCTGCATCTCCTCTGCCTGCATCTGATGCTGCTGACGACGGTCGCAGACTTGGACGGGGTGCCAACTGTTTCTACGCAGACTCCACCCACACCGGGGCCGCGACTGGCCATCGTCGGTCAGTACCTGCGCTTGCTCATCGAGTTTGCCGCTGCCTCTGGAGGATCCGTGGCGCTGGTGGCCAGGTGCCCGACGACCTGCGACCTTCCCTGCACGGTCTCCAACCTGGCCTTTGCAGCCAGCGCTGCCTCCGCGGCCCCTTGGCGCAACATTAAGCTACCGGATGCCAGCTACCAGTAGCATCTAGCAGCCAGCAGCTCGGTGTCAGACACACTCCATCCGGCAGACTGTGCTTGGCCTTCAATGTAATCGGTGAACTGTCCGTACCTGTAGTGCTAAGTTAGTATGTGGTGAGCATGATGCGAGCTCTGGTGTGTAAGGCTGAGAAGCTGGTGGCCCAAATGCAGCTGCAACAGGGCGGGTTATGAAAAATGATGCAGCGCCGCCTACTGTCACTCTTTGCTTCTATTGCGGGACGGCCCTGACTTTGTGGGACATGGGCATCCGGCAAGTGCTCGCATGTTGGTTCAAGCATCAGGGCAACTATGACGACAATTACAATCAAGCGGCTCGGTTCACTCTGCACCCTGTAAACAGACCGAGGCTGCAGCTCATATGCAGACATTCGCAGACCACTAGATGCTGGTGCTGAGACCTGTTTATCACATCTGGCAGAGACAGAACAGTTAAGCTCCACGCACCACCTACTGTGCACCCATCTAGCGTTTTGGCCAACACAGACAAATTACATGGCAGCTTGAACACGGGAAAACCGTTCGGAGTCGGCAGCCGAATTCACAGAGGGAATGGGGAAAGTTTCCAATTGCGAGAAATTGTTGGAAATTGAGGTCCTAGCGGCGGTTGCGCTGGAGCCTGTCTGCCCAGAGCGTCCTTCAGTCGTCTCACCTCTGTTGCTAATGCATCTACATCACCTTTGGCCGCCATTTGCTACTTCTCGAGGCCATGGCGGCGGAAGTTGCAACCGGGTGCAGGGGCTCAGTTGACTTCAGCGCAGCTCAAGTGTTTCAGGTTCCTACACTCTGCTGCGACGGTCTCCGTCAGACCCGAACCTAAAGCTCAAAGAAAGAAAGACAAAGAGAGTAGGTCTCGAGGTCCCTGGCAAGTCACTGACAGCTAGCTGCGTTCCCCGTGCTTGGGAATTTAAATGTGGTCTCATTGTCGCACTCCGAACAGCGGTTTCACTCCGAACGGGCACAAGTGGGCACATGGAAGGACGGGCCTCGCGGGTTACAGTAGCCCCGGCCGGCGATATGAAGAAAGAGCTGCAAAAGAGGAGGCGAGAGAAGGAGGGCAAAAAGAACTGCTAGTTGAGGGGACATCCCTCATTTAGCTCCCAGAAGCCATGAACAGACCAGCGAGCCAAAGGACTGCGCAAGCTTCGTCAATCCCTCTGTCGAAAAACTCAGAGGCATGGTTGCGGTATTGACAACCCCGTTTTGGGGGGTGCAGCTTGAAAAATGCGTACATCGGAACAGGCCCAGCCTATGGAAGGCATAACTGAGCAAGGCCCGCGTCTTTTCATGCTCAAACTGGAACATGGCGAGCTTCTCACGCTGCCTGGACATTGCCAGGGCAGTTCCCTGCCCACAAAGTGGCCTTCTACGAGCTTCTGCTGCGCCAGCTGCAGGAGAGCTGTCTGGTCCAGCCACACTCAGAGACTGCTGCCTCAACCACAACGGACACGGAACCTCAGCAGTCGACGGCAAAATCCAGGATGATGGCTTCGAGTCGGAGGCTGCGACCGCATGCAGCACACGAGGCATCGGATCGGGCCAGCTCATGCCTGTGCAGGTGCAGGCTTTAACCTCACAGCTGCGCTTGCACCCAAACAGCCGAGTTGACAAGGCCTCGCATCCAAGTTTTGGGTCGAGAGCTTCAGCTTTTTGGAGCCTCCCTGAACTGTGCTGGGCGCTGCAAGGATGCCCTGCTGGATGTCTATGCCAAGAGTTGGCCCTCAGCTGCCCCGGAAGCTGAGGGTGGTGGTCGCTTCTCTGCCGAACGAGGCTTGAAGTGGGCCTTCGGCGACGAGCCTCGAGGGGAATGGCAGCCTCTGCACTGTATACCTGTTCAGCTCTCGGCATCTTTGGGCTTTTCGGCACCCTGCCTTGCGGTTCGCTGTTCTGTCTATGACTTGGACCTGAGGTGCCACCGATCGGCCCGCAGGAGAAGGTGCTCGATCTGGAGGGAAAGGCCATACCAAGTAGCGGTGCCGAACCTACGCCCAAAGTGAGTCAGATCAGAGCTGGCCGCCTGCAGAAGTCATGGCAACCTTGTCAGGTCCACCGCAGGCCCCAGATCCCACGAAAAGGCCTCCAGAAGTCAGGCGGGCTGAATTGAGGCATCAGCTTGGAAGCTCTCTACCAATGCTGGCCATACAGGCTGCTGTATACCGCCTCACACAAATCGCACTGCCGATCTGTGGCGTTCTCGACAGATGGACGCTTCTGTCAGCGCCTAAGTATTACCCTTGCTGGCATCCCTTGGCTTCAACCTTATGCGAGGTGCCACCGGGTGTTCCGACGGCAGCATCAAGATTCTAGACACCGCAGTCGGCTCAGCTCCTTCCAAATGGAGATGCATCTGCGACCAGATGAAACAATATCCCTGGAGCCGGCCTGAGGCCAAGATGCGAGTCTGTGCTGCCAGCACGGAGGGACCTGTCGGCAGAATGCGAGTGACCGAGGAGGACTCGACAGCTTCACTCGCACAGCATTGTCTCACTCTCTGGACTTTCAATGATTCCGCGTTTCACAGGAGCTGATGAAGCCAATCGTCCGCACGCTCCAGGCTCACACAAGGAATGAAGATTCTAGCTTCTGGCCGAACACCAACCAGTGTCAGGATCACATACAGGGCGTCACCTGCTTGGCATTTCATCCAACGAATCCGACACTGTTCTCTGGCTCGATGGACAAGGCCAGCCGCACTGGAAAGCATTGTTCCGGATCAGGATCACCCCATGTCAAGTGATTTTTTCAAGAGGCAGTGAAGATTTTCGACTTGACCCGACCGCCGGGTCACAAGAAGGCGCATCCCTGCTCCTCCCATGTGGCGGATCCCATGTGCTCCGTGCCGCAGCGAGGCGTTCTCCGTTCTTCAGGATGTTCATGCTGTGAACAGCATATGCCACAGCCTCAACTAGAGCTGCGCCGGAGCTATGCAAGCAACGCCGAGAGCGCAGTGCTCGTGGTGCTTGCAGTACTGGTATGAAGTATTCGCTACGGAGACATGCAGCTGCCTCTGAGACAGATGAGGTATTCATCCCTGCGGAGACTTTCTCTTTGTGGGGACCACTCACCAGGCTGGCTAGGCCCAAACTACAACGCAGGGGAGCCATGGCGTGTGTTGAGGCAGTTCGTCTCTACGACCTGCAGACGTTAAGCTGTTTCACGACAGCTCGTCAAGACCAGCACCATACAGCAGGCTTCCTGTGCTTTGCCTCCGCAAGCTCTCAAAGACTTTCTGACGCATCACTGCAGGAATCAACGACGTTCGCTGCACGAGTGATGGTAAGGTTTTGGCATCTGCATCTGCTGCTGCAAACTGAGCTGGTGTGAGGTGATGCATATGCGGTTCTCCGAATGCTTTCGAAGCGCGCCTGCTCCCAGGACGGAGGCATTAAGCTCTGGGATGCAGTCACCAACAGTGTCATCAACACGCTGCCAAAGGCCGCAGCTTTCCGGCCGTCAAAAATGACGGCCCTGGAATGTGACATCGAAGTAGTACAGTGGTGACAGTAGCGTGTTGCAGGCTCACAGCGGATCTGCCGTGTGCTCCGTCCGATGGAGCCTGGCCTTCAGCTTCATAGCAATCTCCGCTCCGCTTCCATGGGACGGTGAACCTGAGGCCGCAGTTTGCACTACCTGCTGAGCTGTGGCCAGGACGGAAGGCTTGCCGACGACCAGATCCGGCTCTTCTCGTGCAGAATGCATAAGCTTGCGATCAAGCAAGCAAGCCGGCCAGTGCAAGCATGCACTCATCATGCATGGAGTGTCGGCAGTATGTGGTAGGAAGTAAGGACCACCCAGAGTCGTTCGCTGGAATCCTCTCCCTAGCCGTCCCGAGCATGCAAAGATGGGAGTACACGGGGGCCGCTAGGTGCACGTCAGCGGGTTGGGGCAACTCCGCTGGCCCGAAACCCACTGAAAGAGAGAAGCAACAGCAAGCGAGAGCGATTGACATGCATTTGCCCAGACACACAAACACCCTCGGACTCGGTGACACCCGCACCACTTGGGGCATCGCTTCGTTGCAACTCCATTGCCAACCAGCGCTCTTCGTTTGCATCTGCAAAACTTCGATAGGCAGCGACTATGGGATGTGCGGATGGGTCGAGAGGCACTGGCATCAGCTTGGAGCCAAGTCGGCCGACGAGTCGCACTTGCCGGTGCCCAGGTCTTCTGCATGGGCTTCGGAGCTCGTTCCGCTGACACTGGCACGGCAGTGTTCTTGAATGGAGAGAAGTGAGCCCTCTGTTGGCCGTGTCATAGAAGATGCTGCAAGTTGCGACATGTTTACATGTATAGCAGTCGTTGCCGTGAAGGTACATTGCAGCTTGCAACAGCAATGTGAGACTGAGCGATGTCAGTCTCTTCGATGCCACCACAGGCTGCAAAGTTGCTAAACCCTAAACTCTCTCAACCCAGAAAGGCGTTCACAAAAAACCCTAAACCCCAAAGCCCAAAACCCCGTTCTTTCATTTGGAGGCTCACCTGTCTTTATGAAGCTGGGAATGCACAACGTCCCAGTTCTCGGAATCGAGGCCTCTCCTGTTGACAGGACCGGAGAGTCCCTGGAGAGAGACCTAATAAGAGCCTTTTAGGGCTTAGGGTTTCGGGTTCGGGTTTACGGGTTGAAATTCAGGGTTCAGGAGTTTAGGGGTTGGGCTGCAGGTTTTCGGAGTGTGTAGGGTTTCGGGTTTAGGGGTCGGGGGTTAGGGAGCCTGCAAGCAGCCTCTGCGTTGGAGTTCTGTGCAGGACGATCATGACGGGCTGCGATGATGAGAAAGCAAGATACTTCAGCATCGAGGCGGCAAACCTTTGTCAAGTAGACCTCTGTCTTCGGATGGGTGCCAGGAGCGCGTGTGAGCACGGCGGCTATGGGTGCAGAGAGGCAGAGCTTGACGGGAAAAGTTCTGCGTGGCATCAGCAACCAGAGTCTGCTCATGTGCTCTTCTCAGCCGCCTGAGCTGTTTCCGGCCACCCAGATGTATTGCGAATTCTGCTCGAGCAACCTCGAAGTTGTCTGAGCTTAGGCTGAAGCAACCTGCCACTGCCCCCTAGACTTAGAGGACTCTGGAAGTAGCAGACTGCAAGAACCACACATAGATTTTAGTGTACTGCGGCAATGACTTTGGGGGCCTGCAGTGCACCAGACTCAGTCACTAACAATGGTCGCATTGAAAGTCTGATTCAGAGTATAGACATTTCCCAAATTCATGGTCATCAGCTGAGCTGAGCACCGCTCTTCGAAATGAGCTCCGAAGATCTGTTGAAACAGCTGCAAGCTCAGTTCGCAGCACAAGGGCAGCACTTGGACAGGGAAGACGTCCTGAACCTGGCTCGACACTTACCTCTGGTTAATTAGTAGGGAATGGAAGAATGGTAGTAATAGTAGTTATAATTGTACCCTAGTCCTCCGGTCCCTACTAACCAATGGTAAGGACAGCTGCATGTGGACAGCTCGCAGAGCGACTGGTGCGAGGCAGCAGGCCAGTCTGAGCCCTTGACGACGCGGCTCAAGAATCTCTTGAAGGATTATCCAGCCGATGTAGGTCTTTTCAAGGAGATGGTGCAGAATGCAGATGATGCTGGCGCGACGCGGGTCCATTTTGTTTGGGATGCACGACCGCAGCGGAAGGAGAGCCTCCTTTCCCCAGAGATGAAAGCCTGGCAGACAAATTGTCTGTGGTCCTACAACGATGTGCTTGGGTGTTGTTGAGAACTGCGTCTTTGTTTGGGAAAAGTCGCTACCTTGAAGCGTCTAAACTTGGAAGCTAGATGCTTGCTTATGTTAAAGCTTATCTGTGACAAGAAAGCCATGCAGCAGCGGCAGCAACAGCAAGACAGCAACGAGTCGTCATCATCGTTCCTCGTACAGCAGCGGAAGCAACTACAGGTGGTCTTGAAAAGCTGGTCACTTGCTAGTTCCGTGCCAGATGCCTCAGGCAAGAGCCCAAAAGAAATCGTATTCCTTCTGAGAGACCCAACCCAAAGCCCCTCAACCCCAAACCCCTAGCCTAAACCCCTGAACCCTAAACCCTCGGAGCTACAATAACAAGGAAGCCCAACAGTTTGCTACAGCTCCCTATAGTTTGGTATCTTAAGTAACAAAGAGGCCCTAAACCCTTAAACCCCTAAGCCCTAAGTCCTGAGAATCACTCGTAACACAAAGGCTCTCTTCACGGAGCTACAGAAATAAGGAAGCCATACTAACTGTATCATTCACGATAGATCTCTATTGTTATTGTTACTATTACTATTATCTTCAACCCCTCAGCCCTTATAGAACCCTTAAAGGAACCCTTCTTGATCCCTATTATGGCACCTTAAGTAGCAAAGGCGCTCTTCACGGAGCTACAATGATGATACTTATTTTTTCGATTCTTGAAAAAAAATCCGGTGATTATGGTACCTTAAATAGCAAAGGCGCTCTTCACGGAGCAGGACTTCGAAGCGATCTGCCGGCTGGGTGTCGCTTACCGCTGGTTAGTAGGGAATGGAAGAATGGTAGTAATAATAGTAGTTATAATTGCACCCCATTCCTCACTTCCCTACTAACCAAAGGTAAAGATCCCTCTAAAGGAACCCTAAGCCCCTATAGATCCCTTTAAAGGAACCCTGAACCCCTATAGATCCCTACTAACCAATGGTAAGGTCGGCGGCAGTAATATGATAGTTTTATGGTAGTAGTATGATAGTAAAAAGGTAGTAGTATGGTAGTAATAGTAGTTATAATTGTACCGCATTCCTCCATTCCCTCCTGACCAAACCCTAAACCCTAAACCCTATACCCTAAACCCTAAACCCTAAAACCCTAAACCCTAAACCCTAAACCCCTATAGATCCCTTTAAAGGAACCCTAAACCCCTATAGACCCCTTTAAAGGAACCCTAAACCCCTATAGATCCCTTTAAAGGAACCCTAAACCCTATAGATCCCTTTAAGGGAAGCCCTAAACCCTACTAAGCAACGGTAAGGTCGGCGGCAAGCGGGAGAGGTCAGAGCGGATCGGCCGCTTCGGCCTCGGCTTCAACTCGGTGTGCCTTTGCTGCTCTTGGGGGTTCCTTTAAAGGGAAGGAGGGAATGGAGGAATAGGGTTTAGGGTTTAGGGTTTAGGGTTTACCGTTGGTTAGTAGGGATCTATAGGGGTTTAGGGCTTCCTTTAGAGGGATCTATAGGGGTTTCAGGGTTCCTTTAAAAGGATCTATAGGGTTTAGGGCTTCCCTTAAAGGGATCTATAGGGGTATAAAGGGATCTATAGGGGTTTAGGGCTTCCCTTAAAGGGATCTCTGGGGGTTTAGGGGTTTTTGGGTTTCAGGGTTTTAGGGGTTTTAGGGGTTTTAGGGGTTTTTGGGGTTTTAGGGGTTTTAGGGGTTTGGGGGCTTTAGGGGTTTAGGGGTTTAGGGGTTTGGGGGTTCAGGGGTTTAGGGTTTAGGGTTGATGATATAAATCCTGCACTACCTTAAGGACCCTAAACTATGGGAACTATGGTATATTCCTTACAATGGGTAATGCAGGATTTATGTCGTCAACCGCATGTTTCATTTCCTTGTATTATAAGGGATTCACAAGAACATCAGTTTTTAGGAATTATTTTTTAGTTTTAGAATGTAGCTCAAGTCTGCTCATAAGACTGCAAAGGTGCATCTTTACTGCTCTTGGGGATTTTGTCTTTCATTCTTCCTTGTGTTGTAACTTCAGTGGGTTAATAAGACTTTTAACTGCTCATAAGTGTTTTTTCTTAGACTATTTCTTAGACTATAACTTAAGGGGATTAACAAGAACATTAGTCTTTTTGGTTCCAAGGATTCTAAGCGCGGCTAAGGTATAATCTCACCGATGTGCCCAGCATTCTTAGCGATTCCCTCGTCCTGTTTCTGGATCCGCATGTCTCTCATCTCTCCAAGATGGGCGCCTCGAGCCAGAAACCTGGCATCAAGCTGCGCTTCTTGAAAGTCCCCGTGCTGGAGCGTTTCCGTGACCAGTTCGAGCCCTACCACAAGCTCTTGGATTGTGATTTGGAGCCTTATCTCGCGCATACTTGAGGGGTGCCGGTGTAACCTGTGGATGCCCGCAGGGGGGATATGTCGTGTGTGCACTGGCTGGAGAATAGTTTCCACTACTGGATATGGTAGTGTAGGTTATCTCCTCCGGGTACAGTGGGCGATGTGAACCAAGGAGTCTGGCGAGCCATTTCGGGGCACGTTGATTCGAATTCCCTTCCGGACGAAAGAGTCTGCAGCGAAAAGCGAGATTAGCAAGATTATTGTAAATGATGAAATGGTGGCGGCATTGTCGCACCAATTTCAAGCAGAGGCATACCAATGGCTCTTGTTTTTGCAAAACGTGCAGGAAGTTTCCATGTCGCGCCTGCAGATCCAAGACGGAGAGCCTCTGCTCCAGAATATTTTTTCAGTCTCTTTGGCTGGCCGTGCAGAGAAGTTGACGAAGAGACCCAGTTTGGTCACATGTGGAAGCTCTGGTCGCAGCACTGCTGTCTCCACGCAACTCGAGGTTGTGTGCAAAGGGCCTGACGGCCAGACGCAACTGCGGCGATATCAGCTTTTTACAGATGCCCAGCATGGGTTCAAGACGCGCGTGTGCCTGGCAGTTCCGCTGTTCCGGGAGCAAGACGGTTGCGATGGTTGGTATCATGACGAAGATGGGCGGGTCTTTTGCTTCCTCCCTCTTCCACGTAACATCGACCTTGGGCTGAGACTGCACGTCCATGCGCCACTGAATATGGCACAGGATAGACGAAGCATGCTGCTCGACAATCGCATCGGCGAGTCCGAGCAAGAGTTAGTGCGGCACAACCTGCTGCTGCTGGACGATCTCATTCCGACCGGCTCTTAGAGCGTCACAGCTTTTGCTGGTACTGTACTTAATTTGTTTCGGTTCTCGATATTTGCTAGATGTGTCCAAGGTCTGCGCTTGTCTCCTGCCTCATGGACTTGGCCCTCAAGCGAAATCAGATGCCTCCATGCCACTTCTTCGCTTTGTTCCCGAGGCTTTTCAACTGTAAAGGGAACGTGTCACCTTCAGACCGCATCGCCAGAACATTCTACGCCCGTCTGCTGGGTCTTGTCAGGGGCGAGTCGTGCCCTTTACCTGTCGCTGCAACACTAAATGCTCGGGGCCAAAGTCGCACTGAGGCACCTCCAGGCTATTGGGTAAAGGTAGCTGACGCCGTGTTTGTCCCGACAGCTGGTACTCCTGGTGTGGAACAGATTTCGCAGAGTTTGCTCGACAATGTTGTGGAGTGCTTGCTTCGTTGCGGTGTCCCTCTTGTCGACGCACCCCAGCCTGTGCTGGAGTCGATTGAACGGGTCCTGGAGCCACGCCAGCCTGTCATCTTGACACCTGCGTGGCTCCGGCAGTATTTGCGGTCAGCCGCAGGCGGCAAGCGCACTCACACGCTCAAAAAGCAGCAAGCTTCGACCGTGTTTTCGGAGCTGACTCCAGAGGACGTTGCATGCTTCCTGGAGTTCTGCACCGGTGACGGCAACACCGCTGACTTGCAGGGTGTGCCTTTGGTTTTGTGCGATGACGAATTGACTGTGCATGTGTTTTCCAGCGACGCGCAAGCAGTGTTTTTCCCGCAGAGTCAACTGGAGCGTCGCCTATTTCCAAACAAAGAAGGGCGCAAGCTACTTCTATCCGCTAGATTGGAATCGAGGCCTGTGGTTTGGGCAAAGTTGAAGGAGATGGCGAAGGCTTTTGATGCGCGGCCTGATGGGAGGCTATGCCCATCCTTCCAGTGCAAGACGGTAACTTTTGAGCTCCTCGTAGAGGCTCTGCAGTCACTTTTACCACGAACCTGGAACGATCCAGTGCCGCAGGTTTCAGCATCGGATTATTCAGAGTGGATTGAGGACTGGCTTCAGGCAATGTGGAAATGGATGGATGCGAAAGATGTTTCTCTTTCAAGGCTCGTTCACTGGCCTCTAATTCCAAGTTTATGCG